CAATAGGACAAACAGTCTACATCATCATTTTCTCTCTAATTTAATCAAGGTCATATTAGATCACTACATCAAATCAAGCAGAGTCAATTTGATAAAAAAAAAAAAATCTGAGCTAAACCAGATTCCTTCTGGAAGTTAACCCTTTATAACATTATCCATCAATGCAGAGCATCTTATTTTCACTGAAAATGACTGCTGCTCTGACACACACCACACTTAAAAAAAAAATCCTCTCCCACCAAATAAAACAAGATTACATTGTCTAAACTCATGCCTAAGTTTGTGTTTTGAGGGTTTTTTACTATATATTGCATATAAGTCTCACACAACAGAACAACTTTCACCAAAACTGAAATGTATGTCTGACAAAAATAATGTACTGTGTTATGGTGGGTGCCATTTATCTCATGTTAGTTTAGATCCTAACAAAATAGAAAAATAAAAACAAACAAACAGATAAATAAATAAAACAACCAAAAAAACCAGCCAACCAAGATGCTGTGGAACTGCCCACTTCTTACACAAACGAGTTGAAGGTTTGGTGTTCCTCTGATGTAGATTTTTTGGGGTTTTTTGTTTGTATATTCTTTTGGTTGGTTGGGTTTTTTGGGGTTTTGTTTAAGATTACATCCAGTAGAGCTCTTTCCCCAAATTTGGACCAGTTATCACTTTAACTGCAGTGCATACATATCCAAGATTTTACTGTAACTGCATTATAATCTATTGCTATGGCAACTTTTGGCTATGCTACATTCCACCTTCATGCAGAGTGCCTACAGTTAGGTGGATTTCAGCCACAACAGCCAGCTAGGAAAGTGTGATCTCCACCTGGCTGCACCTCATGAAGGCAGAGAGGGTCACAGGTATAGTCCTATTAGCACACATAGCAAATTCCTGCTTCAAGCATTCCAAAAACTTGAAGGACCCTTCCCACATGCTTCATAACACCTACATCAATAGCTTCTATAGCCAAAACATTTTTGTTTTAAGCTTGTCAAATACTGACAATGAGATCACATACATATGCATACTTTTAATTTCACACTTATTGCAGAGAGAACCTATATCACTGTCACTGGATATTTGTGATATGCCTGAAAGGAACAGAATATCATAGAATTTAAAAGGCCTTTTATTTTTTTATTCTTCTTCTCAACCACAGAAGAAATTAACCATAATTCTATAGACAAAGGTATTGTAAATACCAAACTCAACGGAGCTATGACAATCAAGACTGACTAAGGAGCTCCCACACACACAGAGCCAGACCTGCAGTTGAACCACGTTGTAACAGACTGGCTGGCCCATCTGTTTGTTACGTTTGTTTGCTACTCTGGGTTTGAGTTATATGTTTTGCAAGTACATACCAGCCATTTAAAGCTAAGCTTCCCCACCCCCATTAAAGCCATGGTAACACAATTTTCCTTGGATCTGATTTTGCACTGCTAGAGTAATGTGACACTGAGCAAGGAGTACTCACTACAGATGTAGCTGTGATCTTATGAGGGACAAGCCTTGGTATCAGCAGGATGAACTTGAAAGGATGCAGACTGTGGCAGAGAGAGACATACCTGTCTTTGTTTCTTCCAGTAAGACTTTTTTTCTTTTAAGTCTGTTCCTCCATCTCATACTACTTGCACAGAATAGAATGACAAGAGGTAGACTAGAAACATTTATGACCAACTGTAACCTCCAGGTGTTTTGGAATAGGAAGAATATACTTGGGATTACAAGTATAATTATAACAAGTGCTGTAAATTCTATTTAGACCTGTGAATTTTGGTAAGATGTGTTGTAGGGTTTTTTTTTCTTTTAAGATTGAAATAAAGCACTCAACAAAACAAAAAATGCATAGAATCCCTTTGCTCAGAACATTCCCTTTTTTTTTTTTTGGAGGAAAACACAGTATGCCATTTAAAATTGCTACAACTTATTGTTTAATATACAATTTAGGACTCTGTCCGTCGATTGTGATTTTTAATTTCAAAATCAGTTATGTTATTTTTGTTGCCCATCATGTAGAAGATGTTATATTTTACCACCAAGGTATTGTAATGAACCACTAGTTCAAGATCTGAAAATCTTTATATCAATGAATTTGTAATTTCCTTCTGCCCATGATTGAAAGGATTTTTTTTCTCCAAAGCATATCTAATACTGCAGAAAGTCTGTCTAGGTGTTTGATGATAATTAGCTCGAAAATTAGCCTGCTAGTAATATTATTTATCAAAATGCCGTTGAGTCCTAGGAAGATTGCAAACCTCTGTTGGAAAGTGTCTCAGAGGCAGGCTACTTGGTTGCAGCCAGTTTAAACCACATGAAGTATTGATTAAAGTCTTCCTCAATTAACTACTGCCAACTTGAAAGGCAAACCAGACCATTCATGTGCCTGTTATTTTAAGGGAACATTTAGGCCCAGATTCTCAGCTATGTTAGGTCTCAGTTGTGCTACCCCACAGCAGCTCGCAGGCTGCCAGCTAAGCTAATGGTTGCTTTTCTACCATACCAAATACAAAGAGCAAAGAAGGGTACTCAAAATATGAGCCTATTTAGGCCAAATTTTAGTATGCAACACCTTGATTCCTACTGAAATAAATGGGCATCTGAAGTTACTACAATACAGATACCACCTCTGTTATCAATATACACACCACAGTAGAGTTTGGCGGGTTTTTTTCAGTCGTAACTTTTCTGAAGTGTCACAAGCATATCCCCAGAGCTGCACGTGCTTCTTTGGTATAAGCTTTTGCCTTAAATAAACTTTTCCTCTCATTTTGTTATCCACTTCCCTTCTCTCCATTCTACCACCTGTTTTTCATCCTCTTTTCTCACTTGCCCATGTTCCATGTGGAACTTTCGCTTTTAACTCTTGCCACAGCATCAGGAGTCTTTCTTTTTTTTTTTCCTTATTCCTCTGTGAACAGTTTATTTTTGAGTATAAAGTCAATCTAGTTTTATTAATTTTCAAGAACATTATGGCTGCTTTTGCAGCATTTGTTTTAGTAAATAATGGGTCTGCAGGACACAAAGCAGCCTTTTAAAGCAAAGTAAATCTTAAGATGTTAAAGAGAGCTATCACCTTCTTTCTGATTGATCCTGAGTCTTAGGGGATGGACTACATCTGCTATAAGTTAGAATTATCATCCTGTTTGGAGAAAAGCCAGAGCACTGGGAAATAAATTTAAAAAAAAAAAAAAAAAAAAAGAAAAAAGAAAAAGCTCAAAAGCAAGCATCCTTCTGATAAAGATGCTTTGGATGTAATGAAATCAGTCAAACAGCAATGCAAGATAAATACTTGTCCTTTCCACCCACTTTATCTCAGGTGGTTTCACAGTTTCCAGGTAAAAATAGGAAAAAAAAAGAAATACACCCAGTAATGGGAAATTTTTTCTTTCCCCACTTCTTTACATGAGGATTAAGAAGTCTTTCTTCCACATTAAGTTACTCTAGTCTATGTTACATTTCTCCTCACATTAGCTTGAGTACTACATCAGGGCATGAAAACATAGTGCAACACGTGATGAATTTCTTTTGCTCCTTAGGGGACTACAATAATATGTTCTATATTGTTGCTAAAAGTATACAAAATTGAGCATCTGTAGGTCTGTCTTCCTTGTGATTAGCATGCCTTGGCACGTTTCTTATTATATGTTCAAAAAAGAGTGAACTAGTCTTTTCTTTAGTAAAAGAGGATAATGAGGAAAGCTAAAGTGATTAGGACAAGCACCCAGCAGTTCAGCAGTTGAAAGTCTGGCTGTCTCTGACAAAACCAGTCCAAATCAATAAAAATTCATAATTTGACCCAACATTAGCAAGCAGAACCAAAAAATTAAATCCAAAAGGCAGACTCATCAAAGGGATTATCAGATACAAATAATAATCTTCATTAGTTAAAAAAAGAGAAAAACTGTGACAAGAGGAATAGGTATAGAAGGATAATGTTTGCTACAAAAGCAGAGCACGTAAATTTTTTTCTAGTTCCTCAAAAGATAGAACACTGTAAAGTCTAGTGAAGTGAGAGGGGAAATTTTTTTTTTTTTTCCTGTGACCTCTATGTTACACACACCATAATAAAACCATTACTACACTCTAATCAAAGGTATCAGCAAAGCTGAAAAAAGTGAAATCCCAAACTCTTCAAATAATTTGCAAAACATACCTCTGGAATTAAGGTCCATACCAGTAAGATTTCAGCAGAAACTAAAGACTTGATTGAAGAGACTCTCTCTTCATGCTGGAAAAAGCCTTTCATCCAACAAGGAGCTGTTCCTGCTCACCTTGAGCTCTATAAGCCTTCTGCTCCTGCTAGGCACTAATTGATTTCATTGAGGGCAGGTGATTTCAATTAGCAATTTTAGCTCCAATTCATAACTGTATATGAAAATATCTATCAGAGGCAGCAAGTGGTACTTCAGATCTGCTCTAACCTCCTCCTCTGCTGGGGCACAGTAGATGACATGTCAGAAAAGGGAGCTTCGGAGGTTTTTTTTTAATTTTTTTTATTTTTTATATAATTTGAGAGTTACACAGGAGGATAAGACCCTCTGTGCTTTCCCCTTACAGTCTGTCCTTTGATCAAAGGGACTTTGATTCAGAGGCTTGCAGGCAATGTGTGTCCAATACAGCAGTGGCATATTCCTTATTCATCACCACTAAAGTGAGCGTAGACAGCATTAGGATAGATACGTGTGATTGTGTGAGCCAAGGGAACACTGAACAGCTGGTTTTCATGTGTTATTCCTAAACTTTGCCCCACAGAACCCAGTGGGATAATGTGGATCATAGTATTCCTCTATGGTTGTACAGAGAGGTAGCACCTATCGACACTTCTGTGTCTTCTTATGATCTTTGTACTCGTCATTCTTTGAGTTACATGACATGATGGGATCCATCAGAATCTACTTCCCCTTTTGTGTCCATGTTTCAACTCTATAAACAACATCCGAGAGTTTGTATGTACTATCTTCGTAATATTATAAATAAAACATAAGTGTGAAACATTTTTAAGAACAGTAAGAACACTATTTTATTTCATAGATTCATAGCATCAATTATTTTACCAACTGCTTCTTGTAATCTCATAGGTTTAGCCATAATTGCACTTGTATAACATGTACATTATGATACCAGAAACATTCATGTTTTTAGCTCTTCTCACTGTGTAATAAAAATATGTGATCACTCAAAATTCCAAATATAAACTGGGCAGGCAGCCCTTATAAATGCTGTACTTAGGGAGAAGTTTCATGTGGTATTCCATATGCAGTTGTCTTCAAATCCATGGGATTTCAGAACTACTCTGCCTTGCCTTTCATCTGCCTGTCCTCCAAGGGATTGCCATGTGGTGGGCAATTGAGAAGGTATCAATAAGTAATGATGAATGCCTTTGTGCCAGCACTTTTCCTATATTTTATTTTTTCATTTAAAGAATGTTACAGATACGCTATCAAGGAACTGACACTGTTCATCTGGTATTTTTGGCATAAACAGAAAATGTGAATTAAGGCTTTGTAGTAAATGCTATAAAATGAATTTCTTGAGCAGAATAATGTGTTATCTTTGGGTATTTTCCTGTGAAATTAGAGACTAAAACTTTGATTAGACATGGATAGTATCTTTTCCAATATATTTCTATCAGTGCACTGATTTGGGAACCATTTAGACCCCAAGATCAGGGCTGTTCATAAGTCCCCTTGATTTCAAAGTTGAATGTCTACCCAGGATTAAACACAAAGAGGAATGCTTTCCTAAATCAATTTATTTAAGTCTGTATGTAAGTTGAATAAGGGCCTAAAGTCAGCAACAAATCAGGAAAGAGGATAAGTTTGGGTGAAATATGTTTATGAATACCAAAATATACAATGAGACAAGGAACACAATTCTTACTTGGATTTGAACCAAGATTGCTAAATGTATAAGCTAACAAGACCTTTAATTTTCATTTCTTTTGAAGCTCTTAGCTTAAATTGTGAGATGGGTTACATTTACCTGTACACTTTGGGGTGGCCCTTCCTTGTCTTCTGCTCTGCAATCTGGATTTACTTCTCAGAGAAGTCACAGTATTAGCAGGAGGAACAGTGCCTGCTTGCATTTATCTTGCTAGGATGGTACAGAAGATATACCTAAACTCCAGAACTGGAAAGGGCTCTGGACCCACAAGCTCAGGGTCAAAATCCTTTGTTTTCTTCAGTGTCTTCAAACAGAAGTTTATTTTGAGTTTCTGTATAAAGCAAGTAGAAAGTCATCCTAACAAACAGAGATTATGAATCTGGCAGAGCACAATGTAGATCAAAATGGTTTTAATCATTACTCCCTGTTTTAATTACTACTTGACACATTATCTCTATTGTCCTTCTACAAGTCTGTCTTTTGAATGAAATATTAAAGGCGAGTTACAGCTGAAAATATATGCAGTCTAGAAAGAAAATGGCTTTGAACTATTTGAAATGATTTATTGTCCACATTTCTTTATGAATATTTATTTGCTGTAGTGAAAGCGATTCAATAAAGAGAAAACATGAGGACCAGTTAACTGAACATTTGCATACTCCAACAGTTAAAAAAAGGAAAATAAAAATAATACGGTGCATTAGAATGGTGTTAATGTTTTGGTTCTCCTGTTTCCTGGAGTTAATTCATTAATATGCAAGATTCAGATCCTGAAGAGGAGATATATAAATAGCCAACAAATAAGTGTCCCTAACCTTTATATATTCCCATTCAGAAGGAAAAAAATATGTTTGTAGAGGATTTTCAAGGTCAGGGTGGAGTTTTGTTTCCATACTACTTCAGGTAGCTGGCTATGAAAGCTTGGTTTTTGCAACAATCATATGTAATCTAAGTCCTCATCTTGTCAAGTCCAGAGATCACTCATTCCCTTATACTCCTCAGAGGAGCAGCAGGTGTACCTGGCTATCAAAAGGAGTCATGAGCACACTGATTATTTTGGCTTATAAAACCTTTAGTGTTTCAACAGGGCTACATGCACCAAAACCAAGACCACATACACAGCAGTGATGCTGCTTTCCTTCCACCCTCAGTGGAGGAACAGAGTTTTTCATGGTATGTGCCCTCATTTCCCCCGACTTCAATTAATTTCATTGACCGAATAACACTATGCGTTAGACTTGGAATGAACTTTGTTTCTCAGAGCTTCTTAGTGATATTCTGATACCCAGTCACAGATGGGGCCTTGACAGATTTTGTATGGATTTTCATGATTCCTTTTTTCTTTTTTTCTTTTCTTTTTTTTTTTTTTTTTTTTTTTTTTTGTAAAGCAAGATTGTTGCTGCTTGAGAATTCAAATGCAAATGGAGATGTTCACTGGCACTGTTTCCTAAGGAAGCTCAGTTGGCTGGTTTTTAGAGCTTATAAACTGAATAGTATCACACACAGTATTTGGAAAAGGATAATCTTAATTTACAGTAGTTCTGGAGAAGGATGGTTACAGTAGTAAAACACAGACTTTGGACAAAGACATAAATTCTCTATGCATCAATGTTCATTTCTTGGAGCAAGAATGATAATAAATAAAATTTATTTGTAGTAATAATTATCATTATTATCTACCTGAAAGCTAGCTGTGAGGCTAATTCATTAATATTTTGAAATTACTTCACAATCCTCAACTGGAATTTGCCCTGAGAGTACTAAATATAATAATTTGCTCTGTATGCTTATTTCATTTTGCTTTGGAGAAAAACACACTTTTAATGTGTTTCTCTCTTTACATTTGTCTGCATAACACATTCTAAAATTCCAGATGCTGAGCTTTTCTAAAAGTTAACAAGCAAACTTGACATTACTGTATTTTTTTCTTATTTCTTCCTCTTTTGTCATAGCATTTTACCCCCACATAGATATAATGATATCAACTGTGAGGTTGTTGCTGCTGGTACAAATACGTAAGTCGAGACCCACACTTGCTGTTTATCTCCTTGCCTGAATTTGGAGCTGAGAGTGCCACTACACATTGTTTGTCTGAAGTCAGAGCTCTCTTGATGTACCACTTTCAAATGTATTGTGTGTAATCAGGCAGTTTCTTTAAGTTACATATAGTTAGATGCTACCCCATATTAAATGCCTGATTATATTTGTAGGTATGTCAAATATTTTTTTTTTGTCTAGCAGTTTACCAAGTCCTCCATTTATTGGCAACTATATATCAGTTATTCACAATTGAAGATACCCAGACCTATTTCCTCTGGTTGTTATCTGTCGGATAGCTAGACTCTAATGGCTAAAATCTACATCTAGCAACATAAAAGCCACAGGATATGACACTGGTATCTTGTGGTTCCAATCAGCCTCCTGGTATTATAGTATTACTTTTATTTAACTGTGTTTCTACTGAGTTCAGTGTGCTCCAGCAACACTGGCTGTTTTACGTGGCATCTCCACTGTATATTGTGATAATTGAAAACTCAGTACAGCCCAGAGGCAGCAGCACAACGGGACAGGAAGGGGCTGGGGCATAACTCAGAAGAATAAGGCGTGTAGGCAGCAGCAAGCAGGGCAAAGCCAGCCCCAGCACATCTCCACCTGCAGTCGAGCTGGGTCAGGCATCTGGCAGCTGAGGGTCCCGTGGCGTGTGGCAGCTCCGGGAGCTGCAAATGCCCAGTGCAGTGCCTGGGGGATGCGGAGCTCCGGATGTCCCTCCATCTGCCATCATGGGCTGACATCTGGGAGCACAGACCGTAGGCAGAGTCCAAGGCTCACCTGGAAAATTACATGAACAGATCAAAACCAGATTTGATACACTTCACTGACAACTCCTGCCCTGTGCACATGCCCAGCCCTTTGCAGGGTGGTGGTTCCTGTTCCTAAAGTGTCATCTAAGCATTAGCAGAGAATAGGCCAGATACTTTTGTAGTGTTTCAGAAAAGTAACATATATCAGTAAATGTCACAGGCTATATGAATGCTCATAATTAGAACTAAAAAAAAAATTACTTAAATTAAATGACTGAAGTAGGGCACAGCATTTCTTCCTATTAGCCTATGTAGAAAGAAAAAATGCCTGGAGTGTAAAAAGGAGACAAGAAGAAATAATGAAAAAACAAGTTGTGGCATGAAGAATAGAAATATTTCTTGCCTGTCTTCTTGGCTCTATCTGTGAAGATTTTGTCAAAAAACCTCAGCCAAAACTATTCAGCAAGTGATTTCTCGGCCTGGCTGATGGAAGGTCCAGTTGTCTCAGGGGGTAGCTTTGCAGGCAGGAGGTTTCCCAAGAAGCAGACAAGTAGGTCTCTGCAGTGGGAGTCACGAGCTTTTCATGTGAGCAGCACACCTGCGCTGATGGGACGGTTTGACAGAGTTAGATGTGGCCCTACCTTGTAGAAGCACCCCAGAAGTTGCTGTTGTTAGATTGTCCCCACAGACTGAAGATCTACAGCTTTCCGTGGGTCATTTGGCATGGTGAGGAAGGAAGATGGGCTAGTCCACAAAACTTAGGCTGTACAGCTGTAACATTGAGATAGGTTGAAACATTCCAGCCATTGGGACTCTCCCTTAGAACTATGTTTGTACAACAGATTAAACCATACAGCATACTTTTATAAAACTACCCAGTATGTCTTTATAAACAGATTTAAAATCACCCAGAGAAGCAGGTCACACCAGTTCCTGCCCTCTCTGTTTCTCTGGCCTTGCTCTCCACTCTGCACAAATTCAGCAGTGGCAGTAGTTCTGCTCCCTAGCATCCTGCCTAAAGCCAGGGACAGCCCCTACTGAGACCCCACAAGCCACCCCACACCATGCCACAGGGCTTCACCCTACCCCAGGCTCTCTACCACCTCTTATCCTCAAGCTCTGCTCCCCACATGCCAGTGCCTCTGAGGCAGAGGTCCAGTGGGTAGGAGTGGGAATCTGGGTGTTTGTTTATGGTTTTATTTCCAAACTTTCTGCTAGAAGTGCACCCTTTTAGGGCTCTGTTTAGGTGCTTTGCATTAGGGGTGTAATAATGTATATTTCCTGTTCATGGCATAGTGTTAATTAATCATTATTTCCAAAGTTCTATTAAATTCTCAGACAGTGGCATCTTTTACTTTCCTCTAGCTCTTACCTTACTTCTTCTATTTAGTATCAGGAGTCATCAGTGGTGAACTGATTATAAGAAACTAATTTACATCATCAGTTCAGTAGTAGGACATATTTCTTAAATCATCTAAGATAAATACTTTTAATTAAGCAAATGTCCTACTCAATTCACTGTGGACAGTCCCATCATAATGGATATTACTTCTGCATGCTAAATCTTAATCTTCATCAATACTGAATGCACAACACAAAACCATTATAAAAAAAAGTAGGCTTACTGTAATATTGCCATTTTAAAGCTGCCAGCTTTTATATTCATTATTATGATGACAACAAACCCCTGGCTAACAAATCTTACTACAAATCAGAATTTTTATGCAGTATACGTATGATATCAAATCTATGCTAGCCTATTATTTGCAGTTTTTATTAAAAAGTTAAATTGAGATTATTATAAACTCTCTTCATATTCCTTAATAAAAAAAAATTAAAGTTAAAATCTAATGAGATTTCCTGGAAGCATTTTAAAAGCCTGCAAGAGCAGTAAAGTCAGCAGGCACCACACAGTGAAAGGAAGTATTTACCGATCAGAAGATGAATGCCTCTTCACCCAGAGTTTAACGGTTTTACATTATATGGATTTTTGAGAGGGAGAGAGAGAGAAGGAGAAACCAAGAAAAACTCCAAACCAATGCTTTCCTAATCTAAGACATCATATTGCTTCCTGATCAAAGCTTGCAAATTCTGGTACAAACTGACTTCTTGCTCCTGTGACCAAAACCTCCTCTCTTTCCTCCGCCTCCCTCCATCTGTTCAGGTTTGGATTTGAAAGTCCCTACCTCAGAGGAAGAAACCCTGATCCCTATTGCTTCAGTTATGGTGTTGAAACCCATTAATATTTCTCTGGCAGGTACCCTGACCCTGGTGCCCTTGAACATGCTTAAAAAACATAGGGTATCCCTGAGCCTTTGTCCCTGAGAGGATTAACAGGGTTGCCCTGGAGCCAGCCTGGAGGTGTTTTAATAGGTAATATGGGTGGGCTTCACAGCTGACTTCAAGCTTTGCCTCAGGCTGACTCTGCTCAGCAATACAGATGCAGCCATTGAAATTAGGGGGTGAAGCATGGTTGTGTGCATAAGTTAGAGTGTGAATCCTCAGAATCTGGTGGAGGATATCTCCAAATACCTCCTTCTCCCAACAGGGCAGGCAACCCAGCGGAGGGTAGAGAGACTTGTGCTTCTTCTGCCACTCACTTCTTCTCTGACCTTCAGTCACTTCAGCTGTGTTTTCTTCTATTTTTCTATCCTCTCTGGTCTCTCTTATGGCTCTTTAGTTTACAAATCGTCTGAAGAAGGGGCTGTGGCACTCTGTGGTTTTGCTGTGCTTAGCACAAGTAGGTCCCAGACTCAGCTGGGTCCTGTGGTTATATCACGGTAAAACTAAATAAATAGATAATAGTGGTAACAATAGTTTGGGTTTTCTTTGTATGAACAATAGGTTCCTAATGGAGAAGAAGCCTCTTCTCTGAGTGTTTTTTATCTGCGAGTGAAGGTCTCTCTTTCCTCACTCAGCTGGAGAAGATACTGCCTTTGTAAATCAGACAAAACTTATCATGTAAAATGGAACACATCTTTGATTATACCGAATACTATCCTGTCTGTAATTTACTCTTGCTGCTGCAAAGGACACAACATGATTAAGCTAAGAAATGACAGATTGAACATTATGTGTCAAGATGGAAAAAGATTTTTCCTATTTAAATAGGAAGCAATCATCAAAAAACAGTGAAAATACATAAGAAAATGTTTTAACATACAATAAACAAGCCACCCTGCTGTTGCCTTATATTGTATTGTTGCTCTCCTTGCTCAGATTGCTGCAGATATTTCTCCTGTAGCCTACAATATTCTTTATTTTTAAAAACTACAAACTGTCTTGATTTTTTAATGATGTATCTTTCCTCCATAAGTACATATCCACTGTTACCTGCTCAGTCTGCCAACTCTCCTGTGTTTCCCTGTGTGAGTCCAGATTCTCCCAGTGGCATTTCTCAAATAGTAGATCTGTACAGTGTATTTTCCCAGAGCTGTTAAAAACATTGCTACTTCACTTAATAACAATATTTAGCAGTACCAGCTATCACTCACTATTTGGTATACACCAGGTGTTCTGCAAGGGGGAGAGGGTTTATTATCATGGCTTTACAGATCAGGAAAACATGGTGGTACCAATTTCCCCAAAACACGCTGCAGAACATGTAAACGTGAGAAGGACCAACATATCTTCAGCTCACATTTTATTCTTGGGCATGTTACTGCTTCTGTTTCCTCTAATATTACCATTTGCATTGTGCCCTCCCAACAGCATTTCGGAGAATGATTACAGCAGTTCTTTTGCAATACAAACTCAGGTACTACAGCAAACAATACAAGTAACTTTCCTGATTTTGGAGTGTGACTTTGCCATGTATGATGTTTAGTAACTTCTATCTTGTCTCTGATGATTTCTGGGTCTGGTGCCAATAACGTGATACATTCCTATCCAAATTAGCATATGATGATATCTTGTGCTAGTACTCCAATAATAAGGTCTGTTTGCTGTTTCCATATAGATGTGTCTTTGACAGGAAGAGCAATTCTATAATAAGCCCAGGATGAAAAGCCCATCAATTGAATTGGCACCACATTACCATGGCAACAATATAATGCTAATGAAATTGTGCCTGTTGAACCTGGTTTATGGAACTCTACAAAACGGGCTTCATAAGAGGAGAAATCTTGTTGATTAGTAAATGTTTCGAAGCATGATGAAAACCTTAGAACCACATGTGCTATGACTTATTAACCATGTTACTCTCATTTAATACACTGCTCTTTGTAAGAGCAATACTGCTCTCAAAAAATAAAATTATATGGCAAAATCTGTGTTTCTCCAGATTTCAACATGCACCACAGGTAGACTCAATCACCTCTGTGCCGTGGTTTCACTGGGTCAGTTTGCACAGATGCATATTGAGCCATGCAGTTTTTGCTGCTTATTTAATCTCCCTCAGACTCTATAAAATACACTGCTACTGTAGCTGTAATAAGACGCCTTTCTGTAAGAAAAATGTGGCTTACTTTATATCAAATTATTCCACAAAAAACATCCTTTTAGATTAAAACCTACACAAAGAAGGTGCAGTAGCAGAAACACACTCTTGGCTTCCCCCCTCCTTCCTTCCTTCCCCTTTGGCAGTTTACTGCCATAGAGATGTGGCAGTACAGAGGCAGGGAGCCACCATCCCAGAGGGATGGGTCTCATTCTTCAGGACAGCAGTCCTTGCTGAAGGCAAGATTTGATATTGGGCCTGCTTTTAAACCAAAAAATGCTGAGCACTCAGATTTCCTGGCCAGTTGTGTCTCTGGACAGCCAAAAGGCTCCTGAGGAGTTGCCTCACCTCTAAGTGTCTGGGGCTTCGGTGTTGAGGTTCTTACAGCAGGATCTCCACTTTAGCCAATAGATAATATTCCTCATTGTTGTCACCTTGGAAATAAAAAGTGTAGCTCATCCTATAGAGTCCATCTCCTAATTTGCCAGGTACATCAGAACAGAACAGCAGGTGAGTCGGCAAGCAATGCTTACCTCAGTGAGGTAAGGGGGCTACGAATGTGTGTCTACAAGTTTTTCTGCTTTTAGTAGGCTAATAATACTCTCAAATAGTCACCACTGTAGTATTGTCTGGGTATTTAGCAAAGACAATAGGAGAGAACACTGCTCATTTCAGCAAAGTCTTGATCTACATGGCACAGAAGTCAGCAGAAATCTTCATAACATTAGATTTAATGGGCTTTAGATCAGGGCTTTAAAGGGCTGCTTCTGAAAGCTCCATGATTGATCCTATTAGGAAAAGGAAGCCCTGTCTAACACTCTGTTATGCCCATGGTTTGTGGGAAAGCAACACACCGAATTTCTGAGTTGATAGAAATATAATGTAATGTAATTTCCCTTAATATATATTTTGCACTGGATGACAGTTTTATTAAGCAGAACTAATAATCATCATTATTCAGTGTAATAACCATCTCATTAGAAATGGTCTAATTTTCTGTAATTTTAATTTACCTCTCAGACTAAGCTATTCTAAAATTACTGAGGTGCCTACAGTTCAGTTTTGTAAGACTTAAGCAGAAACATAAGTCTTCAGAAAGCAACCGCTGAGTGAGTGCTGCTAAAATAGTGATATGACAGAGCTTTGTGAGAGAAAAGTACAGAAAATTCAGGTTAGGAAATTACTGCACCACTTTTTATTTTCTTACTGTCTTTGAAGTAACACGTTTTGCACCCATTTTGCACAATGATAAATTGTATGGTTTCCTTCAAGCCTTGCATGCACTACCCTTTAATAAAGGACTGGCTAAGGATCACACCAGAGAGCGCTGCTGAGGAGGAGCAGACAAGCAGAAATATTCCTTGGAGAGACCGGGAAGGAGATGAAGACACCGCTCAAGTTTCATTATCCTCCAGTGAAAATAGGATGTAAACTGTGACATCCAGGCAGATTACATATGTCAGGCAAGCAGATGTGAACAGAAAAATGTAGATGCTAAAACTCACCTAATAGGCTTACTCTGTGGCTTATTCTCCATGACCAAGGCAATATTAAGGTTTTTTTCCATATGTTAACTATAGTTAACATACAGGATATAAGAAATATGCATTCATAAGTGAATCTGGGAACATTCCCAGGTGTGCTGGAGTTAATGCTCTTTGATATACCTTGGAGCATCCAAAAAGCACTTTGGGCGTCATATACATCTACAGACATCATAAACAGCACTATGGCATGTACATATATAGCTTTAGATCCAAAATTTCAAAGTCCACTTTTTTTTCTCTAAAAATGTGCTCAAAATTTTTTATATTCAAACAGCACTTGTGCATGCAAACTGCTATAGCAGCTTGATTTTGTTTTGCCAGTTCTGAAAACACATTTGATCAAAAGAATTTTGTTGCAATCACAGAGAGAAGTAACCTCATATGAACAAGGAAGCACTTTGCAGGTTATAGTATAAAAAAGGCAAACTGTCTAAAGGTTTTCTTTATCATCAGGTGTTATTCTATGTAGTTCTGAGTAATAAAAAAATAACTTCTTTGGTTTGTCTTTTGTTTTTTTTTTAATGTTCCCCTAAAATAACACAGAAAAGGCAGTCTCTCCTGTGGAAGCAGTCTGCTTATGAAATCTCTTCCCTTTGAAATTCGGAGACTTTTCCAGGTGTAATGTTATTCACTCAGCTGCAAGAACACAGAGTACAGCAGTGAAAAGCATTGCACTATTATCCCAAGATAATTTGATAGTCTGTAAATGTATTTTCCTGCCTGTGGTTCCAGGCATTATGCTCTCATTTGAGGTAATGATTTGCAGTTATTTATACCATTCAAGTTAGCCCATATTGGTTTCACCCTGAATATTTACCTGCATAGTAAAAACTTGGCTTATTTGTAGATTGTACAAGCTAGACTAGATGGTTGATTTACAAGCCAGATTAGATCAGCAGTGCAATGGGATGCCTACCGTAGACAGCCAGATTCTGGAGGAAGCAGTGTGGTGACTCACTGGTGGCTGTCTCCTGCCTACGTCAATGTTATCACAACCATACATCAGCATGAGTCTGCTGGCCATGTTGCATTTTAAATCTGACATAAAACTACAGCTCTGATCTGATGTGGCCAGTAAATATAGCATGGCACTTTCCAGAAGTACTTACCCTGCTTTTCTCTTTCGGCCTCTGTGTGGGATGTGAAAACTCACCTTAAATTCCTCTTGCATTTCCATTACCCCAAAAACTGGAAACCCAGTGTTAACTGATTAGTTGCTTCACCTCCAACGCACCCACATTTCAGAGTGATACCCGTTATTTGTAGAATTTGTAGCACTAGCTAATGTGGACACAAGGCTTTGATTTTGGATAGGCTCAGAGTTCACCTCCCTTACTCTCGTTTGGGAGTCTATGTTGTAAACAGATTTACATGAGGTGACAGTAATTTCTTCCTGGCTCTTAACTGGTCAGCAATGGATGGAGCATCCAGTGGTGCTGGCAAGAAGAAAGTCTCATTAGAGAGTAAGCTGCTTTCTCTGTCCCTGGTGATATTCCTCTAGGAGCCTGGGATGAATTCAGAGAAGCCACATACTGGTGACATCCATTGAGCTGCCTGCTCTCTGTGGGTGGGAAAATGCTCAGCACCACAAAAGATATAAAATATGATTTACACTCTCTCATTCCACTGTCATACATTCCTGTGTATCTCCTCAGTTCATATTTGATATTGGAAAAAATATTAATGTCAGGGGAGTGATTTGCAGAAGGGTGAAGTGTCCTGGCTTGGGGTGGTCAGCAGCAACGACAGGAGTTCCCACCTCTACCTTGCTGCTCCCCATGTCCCTAGCTGGAGTGAACTCCAGTATGTGGGCAAGAGGCCTGGAGATGCCTCAGAGAGGCAGGTGTGAAAGCCACAGTTCAAATAAAGCAATGGGGGACAGTAAATAGTCAGAAATTATTGGGTTGCTGGTTTCTCCTCCCTTACCTGTTCATGGTATCTTGGACACTGCTGAGACAATTCAGCCAGTTTCTTTAAAATAAAATATGAATGTTTGAAATACTACTTCTGTTATGCTGAAAACCTTCAAAGTCCTTTATTTTGAGAGAAAAATTAATGCTCATCTTTCCAGGACACAGTGTCATTTAAGAACGGCAACACTTTAAAAAGTGCAAGAATTCCAGTTTACCATCCTGATGTCAGTTTATGGTAACATTTATGACATTAATATAATGGATTATGACCTTGCTTGGCTTGTCTGACTGACAGTTATTCATATATAACACAGTACTTATCACCTTGGTCCTTCCATAATAATAATCCCTTCAATTTTCTGAGCTGTGTCATCAAAACAGGTACTCATAAGTGTTGATCTCATCTCTGGGAGAGTAGTACCAGGAGCTCCTTTTGAGCTTTATGTCACCTAAAATCTGGAGTGAAATCGACGACCAATTGCAGAAAAATACCCTGTCTCTATCACACAGTCTGCATAATGGTAGCCCTTATGATTTTAAATGATTTACTGAGTCTTGTCAAAATGATGTACCTTTCTGCATGGAAGTTATTGAAGTTCAGAAATGTCATTATTCTGTACGACTGGAAAGATCTTGAGGAAATACACAATAGATGGTGTGCTACAATTACTTACCTTGACCTCCCTTTTTTTTTTGCTCTTTAATTTCAGGATAGACAAGAATAAAACATATTTTCTTCAATATTTAGGCTGAAAATTTGCTGTGCAATTTGTACCTGCTTTCCTTGTGCCCATTTTTACTAAACAAGGTGTTGAAATACTCTTTTTATATTAGCAGTTTCATATGCATCATATTTAAAAGGAAAAAGAGCAAAGTGAGAATTTTGTGTGTTTCCAAAAACTGACCACCTAACAAATACTAATGATGTTTGGGTGGATAAGGGGAGGCTCAAAAGAGCAGGATTAGACACCAAGGTCTGTCACAGTCCTGCTGATTACCCTACCATCCTCTGAGCAAAGGAGCTGGGTTGGGGCCGTTGCTGTGACATGCGAATGATGTTCACGTGGTGGGGTTGGGTACAACAAGCCGATTATTCAACTCTATTCAAACGAACCTGGGAATGACATTAAATACCTCACACCAGCAAAGTAGGACCAGCTTCCCCTGAGTGGAGATGGCACCTGCGTGTCTCTGAACACAGCAAGCCATGGGTACAGCCACAGCAGGACGCTGGTCTTTACAGAGTGCACGATGTTCTCGTGCATGTAAGGATCCTTGGAGCAATAAATATTGAAAAGAAACATCATGTCTTTAAGCCAGCTGAACAATTCCTTATGCTTTAGAGCCGCATGGAGATAGGACATCCCCATTCAAAACAGGGCTCCGCTTTCACAGACAGACAGGCCTGCCTCTCCAGGGAGTGCTGAGGCTCTCCAGCCCTTGATGTTTCCCTGGGGCTACACACCACTGTCATTCTGGCATATACATTCAATCTACAGGAATTTCAAGTTCAAGCAAGAACAAGCCTATAGCACAGCAAAGCAGCCCTGGAACATATCTGTGACTACATCTATATTGATGCCTCTGTCTTCTCCCCAGTTTTTTGTCAAGAGCATGACATCCTGCTAACTTTTTTTGTTGTTTTGTTGGTTTTTGTTTTTAATAAACTAACAATGTGACATGGCAGCTGCATGCAAGACAGAGGTAATGCTGTTCTGTGGACAGAACAGAGGTGCTCTGGTGCTCAGCTCTCACCTCCTGAGAGCCTTCAACACTGAATCAAAATGGTTCATCAGTGACAGATCCTGGGGCTGGTGTTTCAGGCTGGGTGCTGATGAGCAGCCATTTCCATCTCTGGGCCTGGTGATTAGTTATACTCAACTGAGAGACAAGTAGTTGGACATTTGTCACTGTTTCTGTGAAAAATGTGGGCATGTTTTCTTGGGCTATCAAATGGGACATATGGGAGCTGGATTCCATCTTTCATTAGATCTTGGGAATTGTGTCCTCCTGAGGCAATTAATTAGCATTATGTTCTTGGCGGCTAATGTTTGCTTTCAGATTTCAGTGGCAACAGAGTTGGAAACACAGATTTTGTGAGGATGGTTTAATGGTTTAGGGCGTTAGCCAAGGCCTGCACACAGCTTTCTTCAACCCCTCAGCTTTTACAGAATTCTCTTATGTATGCAGAGAAGACTTGTGGTTTCTGTCCATGCCTTATCTCCCTCTTTGAAAAATAAATATGATTGCATTTTCCAGTTTCACAGGACTGGTGTAGAACAGATTTCACCTCAACAGAGGCCAGGCAGCACTGCTGCAGTCCTCTGCCACCCTAGCTCCATGATGGAGAAGCTATTCTGCAAAGGTTTTCTTTTAATCCTTCTTCAGTTTAAGACAAAAACATTTACATTAGAAAACTGTCAAATAAACACATGTCTATTTGTTTACTTTCAGTGTGCCCACTGCAGATATCTGCGGGCTGTACATACCTTTATCTTTGGAAAGGACATCTGTGGAAAAAGGCATATTGCCCTATTTAGTGAGCTATTTGATGTTGGCTCATATATAAGGTATAGCCCCTCTGCTGGTGTCTTTCAAGATCATTTCCAAACTATATTCTTCCTAAATCAATGTGATTTACAGCAAAACCATGCACTTGTACCCTGTGAATATAATATGGATATATTATCTAGATTGCTTGTTTTGCTTTTATTACCTCAATTGTATTCATAATGTTATATAATTATAAAAATTCATGGCTGAAGAACGGTGTCAGTTACAGCTACGAAAAAATGTCATGTCTCTTTCGAAGGGGGATGCAAGCAAAATGCAAAATATCTAGCCAGTACAGTTATACAGTAAATAACACATCCTCCATGGGGAAGAACACATGCTTTTCTTTAGTATCCATAAAACAATAACACAGGGATGAATTTTCAAGGGGAAGAGAGGAGGAATGTATTTCAGCACACCAAAATGCTAGTGTGATTTTATAATGCATTTTTTAGCACTACTGCAAATAAGTAGTTATGTGTGTAGGAGCTCACTTAAGTGGCCATTACTGTATCTGATTTGAACTCACAAAAGGCATATTACAAAGCTGTTTAAAACAGATGTGGTCTTACCCTCCATTTAAAATAAAATTAGTCCATGGTGTTAATTTAGGTAACCTTTGCAGTCACTAATATACAATCAAGTATACAATCATGAGCTTTTTAAGCATCTATGAAAGACACTAGGAAGAAGAAAATAATGAAGATAAGAAGAATATACCACTAAACAGTATCTGCATGTTTGATACTCCTTCCAGATAACTCATTCACATTTAAATGGAATGAGAAAATGAAAAACATTAAATGTAGTATTGTCTATTTTCACTTGATGCAGCTGTCTTCTAACTCAAACACTCTGGAATTGCACTCTGCCAGACAAACTTTTGTTAATTAAAATCAACATAAATACGAGCAAGACAGCTGAATAATCAAAGGTGAATTTATCCTGTATATCCAAGGTATTCATGGCATACTTTTTTTTACTTTCTGCTACTATCCTTATTACCCAGTGTTATCTTAACTCAGTGCTTCTTCAGAATCCCTTATTCCTCCCATCAGCTCAGGCATACTGATCTATTTCCACACACCCATCATTCAACCTCCAACGCTCTGACTTTCAAACCGTGTCTTTTGCAGATCACCAGGAAGGAATTTGCAGAACACTGGCTGAAAAACGCTTATTGTGCAACTAATAAGGAAGGTTGAAATACCATTAAAATTCTCACTCGTGCTTTAAAATGCCATGAAATTCGGAATTACAGCTCTGCCTTGCATCCCTGGTTGCACAATTGCACTCGCGTACTACCGACGGTGTAGTATGATCACAGGCTGCCTGCAGCAGCTGAAGCACACAGGCACTTTGGACCGCTACAGCTTTTTGCTCAGGCTTCTGATGGCTTTTTTGGGAGCCTGATCACCATTAAGGCTACAGAGGAAAGCACCAAGTTAAAAATTTAAGCTCTGAATTACTCTCGTGGTTTTACTTCAGCCCCTCACAAATCGCTGTCCTTCAAGTCGCAGTACCTCCCTCCATGTTCAAGTATTACGTTTTGGACTCAAAGTTACACTTGCCTTTAAATTACCACTAGATGACAAGAGGAAAAGCAAAATGCTTAAAAAGTGAAAATTTTATCACTGTCTTTTAAAAATTGGAGACAAACCATATCTTGTATTTCATACTTTTCTTTTGAATCACTGATTTGAAATGATTCAGTGACAGGATATCACATCTATTTGATGGGACCAAGAATTTTCACTTGATGTGTGCTGGTGTGATGGAAACTTAAGATCTGCTGTATGGATGGGAGTATAGTATGAAAATTAAGATCCAAAGAAGCTGCATAAGAAAAATCCTTAGGATTAAAAATTGAAGAACTGATCTCCATTATTGCCTGACAGTTGGAAACCTTTTGTTTTACAGGAGAGCTGCTTCCGAATTTGTACACAAAAATGTTCATAACCATTGGCTCTTTTCTGTGCAGGTTTTAAAAATGTAATTAAATACTGTCTGCATGTTGATTATGAGGCTAAATTAAGCAATACCAGCATAAGAAATAAAAAGGCTATATATTACAGTGGAATCGCTTACAGAGCTACAGCCAGCCTGAAGGGAGCTGCTTTTATGGTGGATGTCCATGCATGATATAAACCTTCTTCTAGATGATGGTGTTTAGTAATTTCCATAGCAGGTGGGTGTTACATTTTTAATTGATTTCTACCAACAAAGTTTGTAACCTTCACTGATATGTGTCCATTTCACAAGATTATATTGACTTTTAACATATCTTGTTAGATGTTATGATGAGACAGGCTTTTTTTACACTATTGATGTCTATTGATATTACATTAGTTCATCAAGCTTACAAATCACATTGCACTACATTTCACATTTGCTGTATCATGACAAGAGGTTTATAATATTCACTCTGGGACATATAAAGGGCCTGCTACCCATCCCTTGGATAAATAATTTAAGAAATTGTTGGAAAATCATACCTGATTAGTAGGATCTGCACTCAACAAGTGCCCTTTGATTTAAATTGTATTTGTATTTTGATAGGTATTGATTTTATGAGTAGGAGAGATGAATAATACATTTTGCATTTCTCCACTGTGCATAGCAATAATCTGACAGAAATAATGGAGGAACAATCCTGCAATGGAAGCGGCCTCTTTGGGGACCTGCATGCCTTCCCCAGGAAGCCCATGGGGCAGTTAATGGCACTCCTATGTGGAATGGCCTGATCCTTTTTTCTCCCATTGATTTGCTGTATCATCCTGTACAGATCACTCAGCCTCCTAACATCTCTCCTTTTCCATCAGTAAAATGGGAACAGAGTGGTTCCTCATCAGTCCACAGATGGTCACGAGACATATGGAGAAAAGCAATAGATACATCCAAGTGAGTATTATACGAGTCCCAACCGGCACTACCACATGGAGCATGGGGCAAAGAACGAGCCAGCAAGTGAGTCTTTCTGTGAGCACAGGAGAGTCTCGTTACAGCAGAACCCGTGGTGAAACCATGTACCTCTGAGAGCAGTGCTGCAGAGGTGGGCAGCACGCAGCACACTCCAACCCCAGAGGGCTGCTCTCTGCCCCTGCTGTCAGCAGCAATGTTCTGGTTATTTTGGCTACTCACTTTCCTGGATGAACTGATACAAGATTAATTTTGTTTTCTTTGGATGCTAATCCCTCAGAGTGAGAAGAGGGAACAAGATGAAGGTTGTACCGTGCAAATAACCGCGGGTAACACATGCAGGCTGGTATCTTCCTGAGGCAATAGCTGCTCAGCATGCAGGTCGGCAAGCCTGCTTGCATGAGTGGCCAGGGGTGAGAAACAGAAACAGACAAAAAACACCTCTGAGATTGAAAACAAATCAGAATATACCAGTATTTACAAACACTGATTTCCAGCACCCCAGCAGCTATAAAAAATGTAGACTCTATGAGATAACTATAATTACAAAAAAGCTTTATTTTTATTTTTTTTCACCCAGTACGCCAGCTCTGATTAGAAAGGAAAACCATAGGCTCAACTGTGCAACACAATAAACTATGGCATCAAAGCAAGCATCAAAGTGGCCCCTTGGCTGCTGGTAAACAGTACAGTCATAAGAAAAGAGACAATGAAAATACAGTAAGTAGAAACAGCACTTTCCCCCCATAACATAAACATCATAGACATTCTTTTAATACAAAGAGTAGCAGGATCCAACGTGACAGCTTTACATTTGCCAAGTATCATGGGAGGACTGTAAAATACATCCTCCCCAAACCAAGCCAAAGGAGCAGAACGAGCCAAGATGTTCTCATAAGAACAAAGAAATCCCCTTTTTTTTAGGTTTCAGACAGTTAGCAGGCTTAAATTTGTGGGTTTTCTTTTCATTGTGGTTTGTTTGTTTGGTTGGGTTTTTTTTCATTTATTTTCATCATCATCACCTCTGCCTCATGCTATCTTCAGCAAGATGTGCCAAAATATCTACTAGTGCCTGTGCTATGTAGGTGCAGTCCACTGCACCAAAACCACTCTATGGTCTTCAAATTATGGACATTCTATTTAAGACATTTTATTTGAATATTTAACTAAAAAAACATCCAAAGTAGACAACTGAGAGCCAGGACTGCGCAACTCTGAAGTAGAGGGATTGCTGTCACATGGAAGAGCAGATGATTTGTATGCATTTGAATCCTCAGCCTGTCACAGGGGGAGATTTCAATAATGTGTGGTGAGTTTCTTTGTGATGCTTTTCCTTTTCTCATTTTTGTTTAGTTAATATTTTACATTCTTTTAGAAGTATTACCTGCACATGAAGGTCTGCATTCATATAATCACGACTGACATGCAACTTCTCTGTCTTGCCCTTCTACTTTCAGGCAGCTTTATAGAAATTGAGGTCTGGCAACCCAAAACTGAGGTCCATGGGAGCACACAGCTGAAAGCATAAGAATGGGGCTGCTTTCTCTTTTCTCATTAGGGTTTTCTCTGAAGAATTTTTGTGGGAGTCTTAGCCAGTAAGCACCCATCACTTCTAGGTTCCCAAGCAGCCATGGCACAGGGAAAACATGTATCAGATTGACACAGTCTTTCTTCTTATGCCTGCTGTACCCTCCCAGATGCAGTAATTCGCCCTATTCTGTATCTTTCATAAGAGACAAGCAATATTAGTTATCCTGAAGTATTTTTTTAAGAAGATGAATATTGGAGAAATTCTTACTTATTTCACAAATTATTCTGCTTTCCATGTAAAATGCAAAGTGATTGTAATAAGTTTCATTTTGAGGCAGATCCCTCCTGAGTAACCCCTCCAGTAAAGTCTGATTCCAGGTGAAACCAACATGGGAACCGTATTTGCTTTTATGAATGCTAAAATGGTCCATGAATCTCAAATAGTATTGCACCCTCTGTTTTATAAATATTTTATATGTTTTTCTTCAATAAATACATATATTTTGCTTTTTGAATCTCAGGGCCCCTTTTGAGCTGCATGGCTCTTAGAATCTTAATAGAGAAGTAGCAACGTGAAACCGAAAATAAATGCTTTCAACAAACAGGGAAAGTCTATATTTCACCAAGAAAAGTGTGGCTTAAAATAAAACAGACTCCTGCAACATCTAAATCCTGCATATTTTCTGCAGAGCATGCCACAGCTATTGACATGCTGTTGGTTTTATATGTCCCAGGATGCATGAATTATTACTGTCATTTGACATTTTATATTCCTAGTTCCATAGCCTATAGCAACACTTACCGTCAGCTGTGGTAGACTATACCAGACCTCTGGCAATACCTCTTATTGATCAAGCACTGCTCAATGTTTGCCTGCTCAGTAATGCAAAGACAACCTAATTCTCTAAGACAGAAAACCCACAAGTTACTGCATTTGGGATTTCTAGTCCTTTCAAGAGACTCGAGACAAGAAACACAGATTACAGATACTTTCTCCCCCATTGGGAGGCAAACTGAGTTGTCTTACAAGCTTCAGGTACTACAAAAGAAAGTGCATTGCACAGTAATACTAACGAGAAAAGCTGCATGGATGCTAATGAACGGTGCTAATATGAAAGGGACCTCAGGAATGAAAGAAACATTCTGCCGAGAGTCAGTGGACTTGCAGTGCCAGGCTTATTAACTTCTTAAAAAAGGACCTAGACAAAGTAAGTAATACAGAGACACCAGCAGCAGAAAAACTATGGTCAAAGGTGTTTGTGCTTATGATTTAAAGGAAGAAAAATTTGCTGCAAGCTTACTTAAGTGAAATTCCCTGAAGACAGCAAGAGCATGATTTCATGTAAATAATAAAACAGAAATTGCAAATCACAGGGCAGCAGAGGATACCACAACTGTCTGTGACCAGCCCCAGTACAGCAGTGACTGTTTTCTGGACTTAGCTAACACACACACCAACACCCTCTCAAGTCAAAGGAAAGTTGATCTACCCTTGACATGGAACAAGTCTTGTCAGCCACTGCAGCTCACCACATCAGCATCAGCCCCTGCCTTGAGGAGCTTGTTTATCATCTGCTCCCTTCTCCCAGTCCACACTCTTCCTCTCCCTTCCATGCTACCTCCTCTGACCTCTCTCTCCTCCTTCCAGCGAGCAGCCGTGGCCCCAGTATAGCTCCCCAGGACAGCCCTCTGTATGGAGCAGGTGAACAGGGGCACAAGGGACAGCAGGAAAGAACCCTGCAGACTATAGTGTTAGCACAGAAACTATGACCCTTTACAAGGCATGCAGCTTATTTCACTTTTTTGTTTTTTAATCTCCAGGTGATGCAAATAATACCTGTTGTCAATGAGGCTCATTAGCAGCATTTTATTCTTTATTTTTTACACCTTTATACTGCAGGTATTCAAATGTATTTGCTCCTTTGCACCAGTGCAGCTGAGCTGGATTCACCTGATACAAAGACAACGGGGGCAAACCTCCAGCTGGAGCAATGAGCCCCTTTGGAAGTCCTGAAGTTGGGGCTTCTGGGCCTGGCATCCTGCGCTACCCTGCACATGTGTGTGGTGTCTGAGTGCAGGGGCCTGATGCTCAATCGCCACATGCTGGGGTCTCCTCTGAAGGTGAGAGCCACTGGTGTACTTGGCAGGGGTGATATCTGCACCACGTGCTGGGTTTTTGTGTGTGCACACCGGTGTGGCCGTGACCACCTGCTCCACAGTGTGAGTCAGCCAGGTGGGAGTATGACAGCCAAGCCCTGCCGCTGGTGGGCTCCAGGTCTGCATGCCCTCAGCACAGTCCTCCTGCAGCAGCAAGTGCCCTGTGTGGGGTCAGCCAGGAGATGGCTCTGACCCACACCAGTCCCAGGTGTTTCTATCAAAGTCACCACAAAGACAAGGTAAGGGATGCTCTTAGCTTGGCCAGCCTGAACCACCAGAGGATTTCTGCAAGGCCAGCTCAGCTTCTCCCCTTAGCCTCAGAGCTGCCTTTCCTCAGGGTGTGGTCCCTGGGGGAACATCCTGGCCTTCTACCCTGGACAGGTCATGCTTCACGCTCAAGGCACCCGTGCTCACATATTCCCAGGGCTAATTGCTCAGGGACCAAAATACTTCAGTAAAAGCCCATCAGTATTTGCTTGCTAGGGATCAGCTTTCATGTGCTTGTGTGGTGAACATCCAGTCCAGCATCTAACAGTGCTCTCTCCCAGTGCTTGTGACACCCCCCATGTGGGGTGAGGACCTTCCCCTGTTCTAGGGACCCATCGGACCAAACTCTCAATGCAGATCTTGGATTTGACCCCTGCAGATTGTGGCTTTGCTCCTTACTTTGGCTGCTGGGACAGTGGTTGCAGCACTGTCCTGGCACGCTCTGCTGGTTTTCAGAAAAGGGCTTTTCTCACAGCTACTGCTTTTTTGCTCCACAGCTCTTGAGTGCGAGAGTAAGCCTGAACCATGGCAAAGGTTTTCCTGCTTGCATTGCACCTTCTCTTTACTCTCTCTCATTGTCTGATCCTTCTGCTTCCCTCGCCTGTCCCACTAGTGTTACTACCACCCAAGAAGCCTCCAGCATCTTTTTTTCCTGACTCCTGGAAAGCATCATCAGGTCATGAACCATTTCTTCCAAACACTGGCTATATCTGCTGCCTTAGCACAATCATGGAGCTGCCTATACGTACCCAACTTGCTGCAACAAAAAGCTGCACTTCTTCAATTTATCCAGAGAGATTTTGTTATCACTTGAAATACAGCAGCACAGCTCTGCACTCGTAATGCCTTCAGAGCCACTTAACAGCACAGCTAGAGAGCACGATTCCAGTTGAGCTCAGCTGAACACAGAAGGTGACTTCTGGTGCTGGAGTACTTCATCATCGGGGTAAGGCAGGCTGGTAAGGCAGGCAGCATTTGACTAGCAAAACCTCTTTCTCTGACATCCTAAGAGGGCAGCATAGCTGCACGAGTTAAACCCTTGCCAGAAAACAAAAATGTTTTGTCAAAATATTACAGTGGTGATTTTGTTCCTGTCTTTTGAAGGGATGAGATTTAATCCACAGATCCATTCAGCTCCTCAGTCGGCTTGAAGAGAGCTGGTTAATAACAAAGACCATTTGCATTCACGCAGTCCCACCAGCCTCTCTGCATGCATAATGCCTCTTTGGTTGACTTCTTCCAGGGAGAAAACCAGTTTCCTGCTTTGTCCCTGGAAACGATGGAAGGTGCAAACTCCAGAGTAAATGCAGTTCTTCTCCACTTCAGGAGACTCAGCCCACCGGCCTCAAATTCCTGTGATCAAATCTGGAAGGGCAAACATCTGGAACACGAAAACAAACTCCCAGATTCAGGCACTTGGTCATAACAGGGACAGGGATGGTGTTCCTGCTGTGGTTCATCATCACTAGGGTGAGGCATTCGTGTGGGTGCACGTACAGGCACACACAACGGTCGTCCTAAACTTTCAGTGAAGACAATGCATCTTGTGCATCTGTGCAAAAAGATTACACCTCCAGCTGAAATGGGAATTTTACAGCCTTCCAAATCCTTAATTTTGAATCTTTCAGTGTTTTTATGCAATTTGAGAAGAGCCTAATTTTGACTTATTGACATCAGTGTGCTTTACTGAGTGAGGACTAACTTCTACTACGGTTTCCTCTGAACCCTCATATGAAGAAACAGAATTATTCCATTTATGCAAACACTGGGTGCAGTGTTTTTAATAAAACAAAATGCCTTAAAATGAAATACTTCATATAATTTGATTTATTTGTAGTCCTGCTTCTAAAGATTAAAAACATCTACAGTCTTTCCATGATCAATAATCCAATTTTTAAGGGGCTGTTACTTTAATTATAAACATATAAAAGCAATGCAAGCTACTAAACCTCTATATACAGACACATTATAAAAGCCAAACTACTTTTTACCCAGCAGGGGAAAAAAAAAAAAAAAGACAAATAGGTCTGAAATGTTGCCGACATAAATGTTTTGGACAGACTAGAAAAACCTCTGGGAATCAGGGACCATAATCAAGCCCCTTAGGAGATCATTCAGTAAACCGCAGCCTGAAGGACCCTGTGGTAGGTCCCGGTGGTGCAGTGGGACATTGGAAGGGTGCAAAAGGCAGCATACCTACTTTGCCCAGGGGCCATTCACCTGACACTATAAACAGGTTACAAAGTGAAAAACGGCTTCAGAGGTGTGCCACAAGCATTCACAGCTTCTGTGCGCACTGTGGTGTGCTTCAGCTGACAGAAGAAAACAGAGGAGACGCATTCCTCCTCTGTCTGCAGCCAGATGGGCATTTTTCCTCTCTGTTTCCATCTCTTTCTGCCCACCTCCTTCATCCCTCATCCAGGTTCCGTAAGCTTCCTGTTACTCCAGAGTTTAAATCAATTAGTGTTAACTATTACTGTTGTAGATGCTCTTTCTGTCTTCCTGCTGCTCAGTAGGAAGTAGACTTAGTGGTGCCACCCTAACTAATGAAGGTTTATTTAAGAACAGCTCAAACGCATTAAAAACCAGTAGCTTGATCCCACAGTCCTGTTCTCAAGCCTACAACCTCCAGCCCTGATCAATCATTGTGGTGTCTAACAAAGTGCTCTTGGCAGACCCAACGCTGTCTCAGATGCATTTTTACATATATTAGTTGCATTAAATAAATTATTATCACTGCACCAAACTGCCTGCTGGCCTCATCACATGTTAAAATTTCAGGACCTGCTTGGCACTCACCCTGCATTGCTGACATCTATGAAACTGCCATCCACAGAGTCACCCAGAGCCAGACACTGCAGTCAGGCTCATGCAGCAGCTTGTAAGCACAACTGTATTTTTAACATCCCAGAAACAGTTACTGCGTCATCTCCCTTTATGGTTTTCCTGGAATATTCTTTATACGCTTTGGTTTGTACAAAGTGCTGCGTCTAGGACGATAACTCTGCCTGCGCAGACTGGATGGGATATTCCTGCCCGGTGAGGAATGCATGGCTTTCCTCTTAATCATAACATATTGATTTTAAAATTGCTTTGATGACTAGGAAAGCAAAGCACAAATTGGAATCAGTGCATTTATCAGAGCTCTGCTCTTTGTGCGAGGGCACACGACGTTTCTGATTGCCAGAAGACAAGCATATTGGTCTCTCCAAAACACGAGGTAAAGATTTACGCAGGATGTGCTCTTAACTCTTGTCCTGCCCAGTTCCAGAATTCATTCTCAACAGGTTGGAAACACCAAGCCAAACTCAAATTTTATCTTAACCTGGCTTTTTATGAAGGCTGACTCTCATCAACAGCTCTGCTTTCACTATTAGCAGTAGGGCAAAACTGCTCTCTCACAAGGATGCTATTTACTCCATATTGAAGTTTATTAGGCTCTGGCTTTTTATAAGGCATCAGCAAGTAAATGCATGGAACATGTGTTTTAATCATCCCCATCTGTAACTGTTAGAGGGTACAATGAGAGAAGAGATAAGGTTTATAAACACCTTACAAAAATAATCTCTGGGCTTTGATACAGATGTATTGACTTCAGTCACCTGGTTATCAGCAAATCTTTATGTGAAAGCACTGAATGTATATTTTATTTTAAACACTTAGCTCCTGTAAATCACAATCACTGATATTTTTCTTTGTGACAATAACAAGATACATTAGCTAACTCTCCTCTTAAAAAAAGGAAAAAAAAAAAAAAAAAAAAAGGAGGACCTACAGCCTAGTGTGCGACTGGATAGGACATTACCAAACCGTGACAAAAGATGAAATAAACAATAAACCTGCTGAGATTTAACCGGGAAGTGGTGCTAACTCATGTTCCTTGTAGACCTCGGGTCAGCTGAGTGTGGATGAACATCAGACAGAGGCTACGACCAGCAGCAGCTCATCAGGCCAGCCACGGGGCGGCTGTCAGGCACCGCAGAGCTCCCACTGAGGTAATCGTGAGGAAAACTCCTGGAGATGGCACTGGGGAGGCAGGGGGAGGTTGGGTTTGCTTCAAAAAAGTCACACACACCTACCAAATCACACTGAGCTCCTGACTAAGGAACACACTGAAAGATTAAGACTGAGAATTAATTATTGAGCTTACTCATGTTTATTCAATCTTTCCTTTTGTTTTCATTTTTCTACTTTTTCATCTCTCTTGCTTTTCGTTCTCATGTCTTCCTTGGCTTCTCTTTTCTTTCTGCTTTTTTCTATTTCTTCCCTTCATCTGCTGTTTCCAATTACTCCCTTCTGTGTTTTTCCTCCTCTACCTTTTCCCTTTTTTCAAATGTCTTGTCCCTCTCATCTGCTCCTTCCAGGAAAGGAGAAGTGAGCACTGTTGTAATTTAGTTCTGATTCCTTATCTAGGCTGGGAAAAGCAACAAAAGAAAAAAAAAAAGGAAACAACATATTTTGTTTGAAAAATGTCACAGGTCCTTTAGGACCCTGATTCAATCCCTCCAAAAAATAAATCAATTGCAATTTTTAATAGGCATCAGATCACAACTCAAGGTATATCTCCTTGAATGCAGTAATGAGTCAGCTAGTTCTAGAAACTGTGGGATATAGGAAACATTTTGCCAGTTATTCATGGGCAATTCTGCAAAATTCACCACAACCACCATTTAGTGAGCTCTATCACATGGACTTTGCCATTGTTCAATCCCCTTGTTTTTACACACTTATTCCAACACTGAAAATAAAGACATCTATTTAATTAAGCACATCTTTCTGAACATTTTTAAATACAATAAGCTCTCAATTTTCTGCCTTAAGTCACACAAAGGACAAGGCAGTAAGAGCTAACAAAAATTCTTAAAAAAAGGTAGGACTGCTATCACACTTTTAATATGAGATGGTATTCTACACCTCAGATTTAATGCACACAGAATAGTTGCAAGTACAATGGCATTTCGATATCAACATTTAGAAGCATGAAATTACAAGTGTACTGACAGTTTTTTATGTGCTTCCGTAAAGCACAGAAGCTGCTGCTCTTTGTCCACCGCATCCTTTGAGTCAAAAGCAGCCCAATACTAATAAATCTCAAATACACTTTTGAGATTCACAGCAAGAGCTGCAACACCCAGGTGGAATTTATAAACACGTCTTATAATTGTTTCTGTGCCATGCTGGAGCACAGACACAAAAGGAAAAGTCTCTTTGCCCTGTTACTGGGCATCATAAATGGATGTAGCTTCATTCCTCTGCCTGGGATGTCATCTGTGATATGTGCAGTTCTGGCTAGACTTGAAGGGGACCAGTTTCCCAGCCCTTGCTGGAGCTGGAAAGAACCACATGCCACTTGCAACCAGTGGAGATGGGACAGCCCTGCAACACCTTCTTCTTGCTCATATAGGAAACCAAGTATCTTTTTAGGGTACTTAACTGTATATATTTATGAATATTTATGAAAGGTAGCAGCGGAGCTTTAAAATCTGGCAGTGCCTAGACTTCACAGGACTCAAATCTGCTACACAATTAAGATTTGGGGTTAGACTTTTTAGGCATTTACATAACCTTAAAAAGTGCTTTGCTCAAAGCCGTCAGGTTCCAGTATCATTTCTAAAACATTAGGGAGTTTCACACCCAATGTACAATGTTTGGATCTAAAAACTAGACCATGGTGTAATAAACAGGTTTTTTTCCAGAACTCATTTCATGTAATTGGGCAGGAATCCCAAGATACTGGAGGCTTGAATCCTGCCTGGAAGCACAGGGAGGGTGCTGTACTAGTGGATTGTGACTCCTCAGCTCCTCAGACCAATTCCCTCTACCTTTCTCCCTCCACCTTGCAATCTGATGTCCCCAGCTTTTCCCTGAGGAGCCAGTTAACCCAGAGAACTGCAAGGATTTATTTAATGCGACAAAAGCTTTTGTGAATATCAGGCTTAAGTCATTGTATGGAAAAAACTCAGATTTCCAGAGCTTTAGAACAGCTATTTGGAAATTCATTGGCAGAAACATTGAGAGTTCCTAAAGAGATAGGTCCTTAGTTGCAGTTTCTTTAACTGAGACCCTCCTTTCTTATGATTTGCAGTGACTTCCTACTCTCATATACTAAAGGTAATGCTCAATTTCTAGGGGAGAACAAAAAATTCACTGAATTTCTAAAATTATTAGTATAAAAGTTTACCATAGAAAATAATTTACTGGTTTCCTCAGATTCCTTCCATTAAAACCCTCTTATACCACACTGTGCTTTATGCATATGAGAGAGAAAATCCAAGGTCAAAAGCAAAGGGGCCCTGCTGATGCTGTTGAGCCCCATCCTTTCAGCCAGGCAGGGAGGAGCTGTGCTGCCCCAGGAGCTCTGCACAACCTCCCAGAAAGCCCAGCTGCTGCTGCACTGCTCATGGGTGCCATACCTGCCCACCCAGGACGGGTCTTGGAAGAGACCTTCCTCCCCAGCAACGAGCAGGAGGGCTGGAGCACTGGCCACCCCGAGCCATGCCCTTCTGCCTCCCCACAGAGCCACACTAAGTCAAAGCAGTGCCAATGCTCAGCACTGCACCCTGAGGTGGTGAGCAGAGGCATGGGAGAAACCCATGTGGCCATGGCACTGGCCTTTGAGCATGGGGTTAGATGGTATTTTTCTGAGGGATTAGGTTGTATCTGTCCATTCCAATAATCGTCCACCCTGACCTCCCAGATGTCCTGGCCCCAGCTGACCCTACCTGGCCCTCCTTCTTCCATTCACCACATACACCTTGTGTTCAGCAGCTCTTTGTATGCAGCAACGTTTTGCAGTATGCACAGACCTGCTGTCAAGAAGTTTTCCTTCCGTAGGAGAGTCATTTTCTCCCCTTTTCCCTTAAGCTTACAGAAATAAAAGGAAATAATGGAAAATAAGGGGATTGCAAAGTTACAAATTTATCACCTGCATGTTTATCTGAGAAAACATTCTCACCCATCACCACTTAGACTTCCACTCTGTTGCACAGGTACTGTGCTTGACCCTGTGGGGAGCTGATAATACATTTCATACTGCCAGCTTACTACAGCATCCAACTCCAGGCAGTGCTGGACTACTGCAGTACCTGCATACATGTGTGCCTGCACACACAGGCACACACACTGACTGTAAAACACAGCTGTCATTCTCCAAACAAACATGTTCAAATTGCACAATATTAACGGAGAATTTTTTTCCTTGAAAAGAGAGTCACATATTTTATATCCTTTATCTATCATGATATCTAAATTGGGAGCATCCAGTAGCATACTCACTGATTTCTCAGTCAGCTCTTGCCTTTTCATTTTGACAGTATTTTTCAGTCTTGACACTGAGCAGAGGAGCAAGTCATGATCTGACATGTTAAAAACAAGAGCCATGGCTTATGTGCCCTGTGCAGCAGAGCTGCTACTGCTGTGGGGACAGCCCGACAGTCCACAGCCCTCACACAGGCAAGGCTCCCATGGAGGGGAGTGCAGTTGCATGTCCCTAACACTATCACACCAGCCTTGCTGTTTGCAGACAGGCTCTGCTGCATGGACAGCATTTGTTTTTTTGTTGTAAAAGAAGATAAATGGCTCAAATACTGATCTTCCCAAATGATGACTATAATAATAGTAAGTCAAATGAATCAGTGTGTTTTGGTTTTCTATAGAAGGTATGTTGAACTATCAAAGTATGATAGCTGTCTCTCTTCCAAGGAGAGCCAGGTGATCACTCTTCCATATCTCAGGGTAGATAGGGGTATTCATATCCCTATACTTGTGCTACATATGTAGGCTTTAAAGTTCTTTTTGAAATGCTGAAATCAAAATTCTAATCGAGCTGGTCCAACCCTCAGAGCTGTTACAGCCAACACTCATGTAATATCACAAACTCAGGGGGACTGCCCTTCATTTAGACTGCTTTAAGAAACTTTGGTTCCCATTTTTCATACTGTGCTGGCTTTCCCCAACTTGCAGCCTTGACACAGGGAGCAGACAGAGCAGCGCAGGTTGTAGCACACCCCTGTTCTTGGTTACCTGAACAGAAAGCAAAAGTGCAAGAGCCTGCAGCAAGGACCTGCCCTGAAAGAGGCTGGTGTGGAATTTGTCACCAGATATAGGAAGCTGAAGAAATTTGGCTTTTACCCTGCAAGAGCTCTGAAACAAAACATCTAGAAAAAGGGTAATTTAGTAAATCAGTAGTAGATCATCTCTTTCATCATTATTTTCATCTCCTGAATCCCTGCAATAGCTACAGTAGTTTGGAAGGAGCTTCTCTGAGATACAAAGAGGTTTTGTCCTGGGGAGCCACAGCCCAGTGCAGGCAGATCCCTCCTGTCACCCCTGGGCAGCAGGTCCAGGCCACCCCACATCACAGCTTCCCCTGTCTCTGCATCCAGAGGACCTGCTGCAAAACGCTTCACCAATTTACACAGGCATCAATGTCTGCCTGAGTCTGGACATCCAAGAAGCACCAGGAATAGCAAAGATTGTGATGTTTAAATTTGTTAACAAACAAAAGAGCACATGGCAGCAATGTTCCAAGTGGAAGGTAAGGCTCACAGCTAGAGCAGGCTGGCAGGGTGGTGGCTCTGCGCACACTGCAGCCCCCACCCTGCCAAGAGGGGACTCGGCAGCTGCCTGTGCCTCTCCTACAGGGGCCAGCTCTGATCTGCCCATGGCAGAAGGGATCATACAGCCTGGCCACCTCCCTGCCACCACAGCAAGACACAGTTGCCCCTGTCTTCACCAGCTGCGTTATCTCCAGCCATTAAAGCATTGCTCTGCAGGCCCAGATTTTCATGTCAGGATCTATGAGATACAGAATAACCCTACAAACCAAATCATATGGCTGAGACTCTCTCTCCACCTGGACAGAAACAATTTTGATCCCTGCCTATTCTTTAACAGTCTTTTCCTACAGGTGAGCAACCCACAGTGCTCCACCTCAATTAACCCTTGTTAATTGTGTTCCACCTTGGCTTTTTGTAACAATTTGTTTTCAATTACCTCCTTCAGACAAATCTGAATGATTACCACCACTTTTTTCACATTTCTTTCTGAGTCAAGTGTGTAGTAAAGTGTTTGCAATGCATCAACTGTTCATCCTGCAAAATTCCAAAGAAAGCATCAGTTGCCCGTGGTGAAAACCAGGGCAGCCCAAATCCTCAGTTGCTTTGCCTGGCACAGACAGAAATTTCTCCCCAATGAGGAGTGCAAGTCTGAGTGCTAAAGAGCCACCCTGGTTTCAACTATGCTAAGTCCAGGAGAGGCACACATCTACTAATAAAATCACTCCTGCCTGGGGCTGCAGTGCTGGCAGAGGAGCGGCAGCAGCTCCTGTCCCAGCTGAGTCCTGAGAGATGCTGACTGCTCCCAAAGCAAAGGGTATCCACAGGTACTTGGGCACATGCTGCCTCCCTCTCTGGAGCCTCTCTCACCGCTTTAAGGTAGCAGGAACCAGACCTAAGTCGATCCTAGTAGTAGCTCTTCCAAGGTAGGGAAGTGAAGAAAGAAAGCTGCAGCACACTATAGATCCTAATTGCATTTGCTCTGCAGGCTCTGAAATGTCAGTCAAACAAATACGCCATCGCCTTTACTGCTCTGCAGTTGCCATTTACTATTTTACTGGGAAATTGTCCAGGAAAGGGATACTACCTAGAAGGGACCATTATGCCAGCACTGGAAACCAGCAATATTTCTGAACAACCCCATGGGCCCATTATCTATTCGTACACTGCGGAAAGACAAGAAGAGCCTGAGTGAGCCAATTTGTGTTTGTGGTAGCAATTGCAGCAGTAGTGGGGATGGAGACAGCCCAGGACCCAGCGGGCACATCTGAACTGGTGCACGCTCTGGAGCTGTAACAATGCACACCAGAGCAGAGCACGATTCAGTGAGTGAAGGGGAAAAAAACCGTCTTAAAATGAGCTCTTTTATGAGCCTGAGTTTCGTTACACAGCTTTATCAGAGTTTATGAGGACTGGAGTAAACAATACGAAACGGCACTCTCCAACACGCTCTCTAGCTCTTTATCAGTCCACAGAACCAGTAACTCCCAGGAGATGCAGATACTATGGGGCAGATAGCTTTGCTGAAGTGACAAAGCCACTTTCCCCAGGAAGAGTCCCACTAAAATCATCTCTTTTTCTCTAGCAATGACTCTTTGCTCTCCAAAGAGCTCACTTCCTGCTATAGGGAGCTCCTTAAAACTTAATTACCACTTTGCTACACTAGGAGTGAGCATTTGAGATACTTAATATGCAGAATCATTCTGAATCACCTCATTTTACCACTACTTTATTTTTCCTCCCAGTCAAAAAAGCATACCAAAGGGTGCACAGCCCACTCCCCCTTACTGTAATTCCCCTCCTGCTCCCAACAAAGAAACATGAATTTACCTGGACTACATTCCATTGACTTCTAAGCAAAGCTCAGTCTGTCTGTCCTTCCCTCTCTTCAGATAGCAAGTCACAGAGGGCAGTTTCAGACCTACTTATAGATTCAACCTCTGTGAGCAGGGGGAATGGGGTTGTATCTGGCACAGGTGAGGAGGAAACCATCCATTACCAAAAGAGGCAACTCCCATCGCCTGGAAATCAACTTAGCAAGGAAAACCTGTGCTCTTCACACAAGCTCCTGGCTCACCGTTTCCAGAACATTCAGCAAACATTTTATTTCTGACATCTTTTTGGGTTTCATCACATAGTCTCTGGCAGTGAAAGCACTGGTGGATCAATAGTCAGTTCAAGCTCTTGTGTCAGGGCATCCTGTCCCTGGCTCTGGGGCAGCACTAACAAGGCCACACAGTGCCTTGCAAGCAGGGGAGAGGGTCGGGGGCACCACCAGCAGTGTTGTGGCTGCTGTCTGGCACACGGATGGCTGTTCTGCTGCGGTCCGGGGCCTGGGTTCACTGCATCACAGGGATGTACACCATGAGCATTTCGGCCCTGCCTTATAATTTGCACACTTTGTTTGCTCTAGGTATGGTTCCTGCAGACATACAAGCTGGATGCATATTAGTTTTTTTCATTTTAAACAAAACAAATGCCATGGTTTATCACCCCTTTTCCCTCTCTGTCCCTCAGATGGGATTTCTTAAATTCACCTGGGTTACGCATTTTCATAAACCACACTGGCTGCAATAAGCTATGTTTGAATCATCATTTAGAGAAGTGAAGATTTAATTTCATGGTGGAATTAAGGTTGACATTTCCTTTTTATTTATACTACACCAAGGATTAATAAGGTTACTATAACCTTAATCTTTGATAGCTCAACAATAGAATACTCCAGGATTACTGCAAAAGCTGGATTTTAACTCTTTTAATCCCATTATTGTTAATAACCTTATCAACACTGTGCCCCACCATAGAGGTGGAGTGGAAGAATATCAGACCCTACAATTCCTTACCATGGAGCAGCACTCACAGTTTGAGCAGAAGAGCCAGAGACAGTTGCTTGGTTGATGCCTGCAGTGAGGTTCACAGTTTGCAGTAGGGCTGCAATGCTGCTTTTAAACTCCTTGTCAGAGATCTTTGCCAAGAAAAACAGTGGTCCAGTGGCATATGTTGGCAGAGCAATGCAAGGTTGCTCTAATTCCCTTACTTTGTTTTTCCCTCCTCCCATGCGATAACTACTCCAAGAATCAGACTGCCAGTCTGGCAAGTTGAGATCCAGAAACTTATTGCTAATTACCATGTTTACAATTCCCAACCTGTCTGTTGGTGCCAACAATCAAACTGCATCCTCTTGAGTGCACCAAAAGACACTTGCTGGCAGTAGTTTCCTAAGGTTCCAGGCTGGCTACATTAATTACTGTTAACTTAATTTTTGTGTATTGAGAAGCAGCTTTAATTAGTGATTCCATGGTTTAAAATCATCCTTTTATGAGTTTCAAGGAATAGCAGCTAGACTTATAGAATACTTACCAACCTACATATCTTTTACTTGGAAACACAAGTGATAGTAAACTTATATGTGGCCTGACAAATAAAATAGGCACAGGTTTAATAAAATCACACCAGGAAATGAAAGGTTGTGCCTTCCCTTTGAAGTAAAATAAGCAGCTCTAAAAAGGCAGGTTGGATATGTTTTATCATCCTCAGAAAAGATTTGACTGGACAGAATAAACCTCATTCTGACGGTATATCACTGAACCAAACCATTTAATGAATTAAAAGAAAAAGCATGTATTTTATGAACTCAGTGAAAGAGAGCCCAAACTCAAGTAACTGCAAGGCAGAGTCTGAGCAGAGAGGATCCAGTCTGTGCCCTGCAAGTTCTAGCCCAAGGTTCCTGAAGGCCATCTGACTACTCAGCTGGGATCCCCTTTAAGAGAGCACATACTTCTACCTCACCAGAGTCAGTAGAATGTGCTGTGCCCAAAGAGCAGCACCTCTCAGCAGCCAGGCTGGGCTCTGAGGGCCTCGGGACTTGCATGGACACCCCAGGAATCAGCAGGCACACAGGGTTGTGCAGTACACAGGAACAGGTTACCCACTAAAGGTGTGTGCCCAGCGGCTATGCCGTGCAGAGCCCACCCAATGCCCACAGTTGCCCCCCGCAGCAATGCATTTCTAACCTGAATTTTCTAACCTGGCAATGAAATTCAATCTCCATGATGCCAGGCTGAAAAAGCTGGTTAGGAACTGATGAGAACTGCACTACACTGCCTCTCTGAGGATGTTTTATTCTGTTCTCTGATGGGTGTGGAATTACAAGAGAGAGAGCAGGGCTAGCCAGATCTCTACCCCCTGATGTGGCTTGGTGCTTCTGAGGTGGATGGGCTGATGGCAGCAGCACAAGGCTGCTCTCAGTCAGTGCTGCTGGACACGGGCAGCATGCAGATGCCAGTGCAGCAAATGTCTGTGCTGTGTTGAGGCTGAAATCAGTCTCATCTCTTAGGGGCAGTTTAGGTTGTCACAACCATCTGAAAATTGACAGTTTTAAGAGGAACCCTGCATTCAGACTAGAGCAGCATCGTGCCCGTATCTGCTTAAAATGCCAGTGGTCCTTCCTGGTTGTGTAAGGATAGATCTAGGAGTCTGATTTTAGGCCCATTTTCCTAAAACTTGGTCTAACTAGTGCAATAACAGGCCACAGTGAGTCTGTCTTTTCTGCCCTGCAGCAGATTCTCCACCATCTCACTGAGTCCCAAGACACCAGCTAACTTCCCTGCTCTCCTGGCAACATTTCTCAGGTTGCCAGCCACTGCCAGGCTTCTGCTCTTGCACCACAGTCCTACTCTGTGAGGTTGCAGTGGGCTACTAAGATAACCCAGTGCAAAACTCAAGCACACAAAAAGTAGCATGGAGTAGGGGCAGTAAACCCAAAGCAAGGGGTAAACCAAGGAGACAGACACTAAAATCAACAGGCATTTTAACTTACAAGGGGAAGATGGGAAGGAAAATCAATCAGTGCTCCCGGAGGAGGCAGTCTGGATCTGCTCAGGTCCTAAAGCAAGAGAGTGGAAACAGGCATTTCAGAGCAGTTCATTTACACGAGGTGGAGCCCCTGGTGGTCTATTGGTTAAGGGCGCAGCGCTGTCACCGCCAAGGCCGGGTTCGATTCCCAGTCAGGGCCACTCCCAGGCAGATGGAGCTCGTTAGCCCTTAAAAAAAAAAGGCAATCCATCTACGTCCTGAGGACCTCGCTGCCACCGTCCAAGCTCGCTTGGCCCCGGCAGATGAACCTTAGGATTAAAGGGTGGGCTCAGTTCCGCGCACACTGTGTCTCACCTAAAAAATCCAATGCGCAGGCTGGAAGGTGTAAAGACCTTCCCCGGATCTTCGCTCGCGAAGACTGGCCATTATATTATATTTACACGAGGTGTACTGAGTACACCAAGCAAACTACCAAAGGAGGCAACAGACCTGCATCTCAGAGAACGGTCTGACAGGAGTTACATTGGCACTTTAGCACAAAGAGATATTTGAGGCTCCGAAAGCAAGCGGCAGTGTACGGGGACACGTGGATGCAGCTCACGTGGCCCACGCTATTGATGTGTTTTCCCTCCCCAACCCAGCCTGCTCAGCTTGATTACTTACGTCTTGTATAACTTACAGACATAGTCTAAAGAGAGTCGGCCAATTTCCACTCAATTTATAATTTAGCAAGCAGAGAAGCTTGATTCTTCTAATTTACATAAAACATACATAAAACCGAAAACAAAATAGCTTTTGAGCATATGGGCAAAGTACACAAGAGCCACAGAGAAAAGGAGGAGTGAAAAAAGGACACAGACCAAAAGCACTATCTGTGTAATGCTTTGCTAAGGGATTCTGAGTACTTTGTTTATGATAAATATCTCACAGGCAAGCAAGTTTTTATTGTCACAGGCACGTGTTGGTGCTGTACCTCCGCCTCATCACTGGACGATCAGCACACAGGCCTACCTAACCAACGCCATAACACTGGATGGGGCTTTTCTATTGCATCTTTCTTTTTCTAGGTAAAGAAATATTGTTGAGAACCTGCAACAATATGGCAAGAAAGCTTCAGTGTGTATCAAGATACACACTTGCCAGACCTTCTTCCCGTTCCCTCTTGGACACCTCCTCTTCTCACAAAGAAAGGCAGGGAGCTCTCACCCTGCAGATAAACATAAGTCAGCATCCTAACTCCCAGGGAGCAGCAATAGGGCTGCACTCTTATGATCATTTCTCCTGCATTCCTCCTCTGTGACTGCCAGGTTCTGGCAGAGCCAGTGAAGGCATTCTCTAAGAGGAGATACCACTTGCCAAGTGCCGAAGCTGATATTTCTCCTGTGGCATGGCAGGCTCCAAATCATGTTTCTCTTCCTCGTTTGCCTGAGGATTCATCCTGGGTACTAACAATAGACTCCATGGAGGCTGGTGGAGCCCAGGCTGCCTCACCAACTTCTGTCTGAATTCAGTCATTTCCAGTGAGCAATGTATAAATAGATGCTGCCTCATTATTGATGTATATTGTGCAAAGGGTTTAGCCGGGGATGAAGCTTGCCTGCTTTCCTTTTATGGATGAAAAGCGGGATCCCAGAGCCTTTATGTGAGATCTCTGCACATGTCAATCAAACCACACCAGAAGGAAGATTTTGTTCTGTTAGGTCCATGTTAAATGGCAGCCACATGGCCATGGGAAACATCTATGGGAACAAAATGCAGCTCTGCTTGTGTGTGCATGTGTGTATAGGCACATTTACACATATGCACACCCAAACCAAATGAAAACAGAATTCTAACGGTTGCAGCCTAATGTTTCTATTCCTTTTTAAATCCCAAGACCAGGCTGTAGTCCGGGCTACTCTGACACAAATCTCATTTGATTCGTTATAAACCACTGATTTAAACTAATGGAAGAGTTAGCCTCTGATTTAAAAAGCAGACCTTAGAGGCTGGCCCAAGGCCTGAGCCTCTCAGCCCTGCAGTCTGGCTGTAGTGCATTGATACTTGCCAGCTAAATTTGATCATGAACTCTGGTGAAGGCAAGCTATCGATATTTCAGAAAGCCATTCCTCACACTTCTGAGCAGCAAACGGCCCATCACTAAGAAGGCCAAACCCTTGTCAGCATGAGCTGACTTATATGAAATGAAACACTGACCTCACTGCTAGCTCCAGAGTTAATCTCGGAAGAGAGATTTTATTAGAGAAAGCAGAGCTATTGTTCTGAGCCTCTCTACAGGGCACATATTTAAGTTTTGCATCCAGGAAATGTGAAATACTTTAAATAGAGTGGTATTTGGTAAAAATTTAAACCGAAAAACAAGAGTATTTTGGGGGGGATTTATTTATTTGTTGGTTTGTTTTTCGGTTTGTTTTTTTTTTTCTTGGATTTCACATCACCCCCATTCGCCATCCTTTTCCTGGCTGGAGTTTTTCCTCCCTCTTTACCAGGGAGGATGGAGCAGAGCAAGCAGCACTGCCTCACTGCAGCTCCAGCAAAGAAAAATTAACATGTTTATGTTCATCTCTAACCGAGGGTTTGGACTGGTCCTGCCTTCTCCATTGGTAAGAATTTACACGCACAGAAATGACATGCACGTGAACAAGGAGAGCAAAAGGGAGTGGGGTTTGTCTCTTGATTCCTAGACCAGGACTTGCAGATCCAGTTTTCATCAAGAGGCTCTATGATCAGCTGAAGACAAATAGATTTATGTTATCGCATGTCTGACAGACACATGATGTGACAGCCATGAGGTTGTAACACAACAAAGGAGAGTGAGTAGTCAAAAAGGAAAGGATTGTACTGAAACCTTGCAAGGAATTACGTTATTGTCTTCTGCTTAACTCGTACCTCGGCAAACACACAGGGAAAAAAGGCTCTTTCTTAAAAATGGAAAATTCACCATCTCTGAGACAGAGGTCTGAGAAAGCTTCCACTGCTCTCCTCTATAGTTCAATTACTAGAAAATTAAATTATCCTGACATTTCTAAAATACAGCATGTTGAAAAAGAAAATCCCTTCCATCCCGTCAAATGTTTTGCACGTACCATAAACAGAAAGATGGACAATCAGGCAGCAGAGGAAAGTAGGGGAACAAGCAACATTTTTTCCCATAGTGGTCATAACAACCAGGGCATCAAGACTGTAATAACTGTTGCTTTATTAAAACAGCAAGTAAGAACCTGTATAACTTCGGGTTTCAGGATGATGCTTTATGACAACTTAATGAAGAGGTAATACAAAATACATTTTAGTGGAGTAACCACGTAAGTTATCTCCTGAAGAATGATTGTTAAAGGATGAGTTTCCAGATGGTGTGAAGCATTACTGTGAAGCTTCCCTGTTCTTACTATTTCCCACCCAACTTAAAGAAATAAAATAAATCCTTTATAATGCAGTAATTAGTGATGCCTTTTTATCTGAATTTTCTATCAGCTTCTTGTTGAGAGAACGTGAATACTTGCAAAGCTATTACTATCAGATAATCTAAAAGTAGTCATATGAAACCTACATTATCTATGTAAATGCCTCTGTAAGATGCAGTAAGATGGTTCTTTTTTTGGTAACAGACTGCACAATTGCATGCTGTACTGTTCTGGTTCAGAATGTTCCTCTTTCTCCAATTAGAGAAGACCAGTCCCATGCTGATCACTTTATCTTTGATTGCTCATGATTTAAAAGATAGGCTTGACCTGTGACCATTAATAAACTTTGTGATGTTGTCCTGATTTAGTAAGAGAACTGCTAATTTTCCAAACAAGGTTATGAATCAGCAATTGTTAATATCAAAGACAGCTACATTTTTCCAACATTTCATGCCTAATGAAATTATATGAAAGGGGTGTACACTGCATACAACTCAGATGAGCTGATACAGAACAATGCAGTGGTGACGACTGCCCCTGAAACAGATAAAATTTACTTAATCTGAAATACTCTAGAGTAGCTTGGAAAGTTTAGGTTACCTCTTACAGGCCTACCTCTTTCTTTCAGTGGTATAAAGTGCTGGGGAATTATCAGAGCCATTTCAGCTCCACAGAGGTGCGTCACAGCAGTCAGAGGCAAAAAGGCCTCCCCAGGTGGCTCTCCAGCCCTCATACTGCCTGCCATGTCTTGGCCAAGGTAATTTTATATCTCTCAGGCAAGGGCTTTCCTGTCTGGAGATTGCTCCATTGCTTTATGTCATCCCCACTGGCTAGAGGGGTATTGGGTTCACTGAAAGGGAATGTTTCTTGATAGCCATGCTGCATTTTCTCCATACATAGCTTAAGGTCTGTTTGCACACATCAGGCTACATTGCTTTCGTGCAGACAGGAGAAATTCTGATCCCCCCAATATCAATGTAAAATTACCACTGTTTTCTGTAGGAGAACGATTTCAAAAGCATGATGCTCATTTTGTTAATCTATATGGGCATTATTATGTAATTTTGGCTAGGTATGTATATTCATACAGATATATATATATAAAACCTTGCCCTTCAGCTATATATTCAGGGCTCTTATTTTTCCCATCAATCAGCCCCCTCTAGTTTCTGGAACATATCACCTAATTTTCTGTTGGCTGCTTTTAACTAAACACTGTTTTTCCAAAAAGCAAACTACCAAACATGCGCGATGTTCCAGCCCTGGTTTCAACACTCCTGGTGCATACGCCCAGCACCACACTGCGATGCCTCCTCACCTACAGTCCCTGGTGCCTCACTTCTCCTCTGCCCTCCAGCTCTGCAAAGCTGGGTCACATCTACCTTCTACCATCACCTCCTAGACTCTTCTCTCTACCTTCCTCAGGATCCTGTCTGTCCTTTGGTGTCAGACTCTTTCCATCATCTCTATGAATTCTGGCTTGGTTTTTCACTTTTAGACTACTTATTTTTGGCCTGTCATTTAAATTTCTTTTGAGTCATTGTTATTATCGAGCCAACTTTTATAAATAGCTCTAAGCATTGCAGGTATGTGATAATCAAGTCCTTTGATTTTTGAGCAATTTGGTTACTAAATGATAGCAATAAAAAAGCATGCAATCATCATGGGCATTAGCCCAGGATATGTTTCCACCATTAAAGCTTTCAGGAGGTATATGATGAATCTGGTACAAATTTATGGCTCTTAATAATGAGTGTTATGATTTACCTTTGCAACACTAAATGGTGAGGTGTCATAACAGCTAAGGGTAATACTTGGGGGAGGTGCTTTACAGAAAAATAGTAATCTATTAAAAGGAAGAGAAGAAAAAACCTTTTGTATATATAAAGACATTATTTTTTAAAAAAAAAAAAAAGGCATAAAAATCCAGTTGTGTACATTACTGCTAGAGTGATGTAAAAAGGCAGAGAAAAAGGCTAGTTAGCTTAATCTTACAGCTGCAAAGTATGTGTCTAGCTGTGTGGATGTATAGGTATTTATTACTCTTTTCAGTTTCCTCAAGAAAACCCTATAAACACTAGAAGCTACCTAAACTGACATAAAAGACAATTACTTCTTATGGAAAGAAAACTTACACTCCTCTCAAAATCAGATGTAGTCTGAAAAGCAGAAAGCAAGCAGAATTAAACCCAAGGAAAGGCATCTGCATAACTGTACATATCTACATTCATCAGTGTGGACATTTATTTTAGGCAACTTTGCAGCAGCAAGAGGAATCATAACACCGGTCATAAATACGCACTGCAACAGCACAGCCCCTGCTGAGGTGAGTGGGTGTTGTGCCTCTGTCAGGTCTGGGAGAATGGGGCTTTTCTACTATGCTGTAGCCTCCCTTCAGAGAGGTGTGTGTGTGCATATATATCCATTCCATTCAGAGATACGTACATATATAAAGGATGTAGGATTAAATATTTGTGGAAAGGGCACCTGAAATCAAATGGCAGTCCCCAACACTTAATTGAGGATACTGCTAAGCAGAGCAGTTCTGCACATTATAGGCAGACCCAGGCAAGGCTGTGACCCTGCCTGCACAGGACAATAGGGACTGAAGCTACTCTTCCTTCTCCCACTCCTGCTATGGGGCACGATGTGCCCGTGGTGCTTGGGAGCACAGCCCTTTGGGCACTTCCCCACTTTAGGAAGGCCCAAGCAGTCATGGAGCAGGGTGGGGAACAGCCAGCATCATGGGTGGCTGCAGGAGGGCCCTGCAAGCGCCCAGCTCTGCACCAGGACGGCTGCCACACCAGTGTCTGCTCTGCCATCAATCGGCTATGCTGCTTTGTGGGCTCTGGCGTGACAAAGACTTACCTATGGCAGCAGCCTTTGAGGCTACTCCAGTGGATAAAATTACCCAGAGATATAAATCTTCGTAGGATTATGGCCCTTAAAGACAAGGCTAAGTTCAAGTAATTATTTTTGGGCTAATTCTTTATTTAATTTTCTACTAGGATGCAGATTACAAAAGCCATTTTAGAACAGAAATTCAGTATTCTGAATTAATTAAATATGCAGTCACCAAAATAGCTGTTAACGCACGGTTGGTGCTGCCACAAATCTCATTCTAAAGTGTCTTAGAAAATGCTCATACTGATACAATTAAAACCCCTTATTTATAAAGTAATTTCTTATTATGTTTCACTAAAAACTTTTAGTGTAATTTTTGCTGCTAATAAAATATCATTAGGCTATTAAAGGCAGTGGGGTTTTGGAGTTATTTTTTAGCACACAGGATTCGCAATTTCTAAAGCAAAAAAGTAGGAAGTGTAGCACTGTAAAAAATCCCTTTCACAAGGGGTCTAATCTTTCCCGCAGTGAAATCAATTGGGGCTTTGCTATTGCATTGAATGTTAGGATTTGGCCCCAAATATTTTGAATTTAACATGAACAAGCTTGCTCCCCTGAACAAGTCCCATGAAAGCTATGTGCATTCCGAGGATCAGCCCCACAATATGAATAGTCACTTCTTAGAGGTTTGTTGTTCAGAAATATGCATATGTGACAGACCCCAGGAACTGCTAATGAACAGGGGGAGCTGCTCTGAGATCATGCTATTGGGAAGCATCATTCCAAGAGTCCTTATTCTGTTGAACCTTTATACAACATTTTAGAATAATTTTGGTAAGCATATCCAGTATTTCTCAGATCAGGTCTTACACTTTCACTCTTTTAACCCACATAGCATATCAATTCCCAAAAGATTTTAGTGAAGAGAAATCTACAATCATCAAAATGTTAATTTTGACAATGACAAAGAGTACATGCATTAAAAATGCATCAGCCCTGTCATTAAGGCATTATTCAGCAAAACCATCTCATCATGCTAAACAGAAAGCAACTAGAAGCAAGCAAGTAAAAGAACCATTTGCTAAGCTTGTATTTACGGGTACCAGTCCAATCCGTACTGCACAAGATACTCAACCAAGCAAAGAGCAAACAAATCCTTTATGTGATGAAATGGAAACTCCTAATAATACTCTAAGCATGACTCAAGGGAAAATGTCAACTAAAAGCTCAGATCAGAGGAAGGTTTGTAATACAAACCTGGATGTTTAAAATAGTGTTTCCATCGCTGTTCCTGCAGCACTTGTGAATGTGGCTGTGTTACGGTGCTGAACTGACTATGATTTAGCAGCTGATCATGTCTTTTTAAAGCATAATTTAACATTATTTCTGAGTCTGTTGAACATACTAAACTAGAAGAAAAAAAAATCTGCTTTCAAGTGGTATTAGAGAAACACAAGGATCAGAGTGCTAGCATCAAAGATGTGTCTAAAGAATAATAGATCTGCACGTCTGTATAACAACGAGTGCTCCACTTGCTACTGAAGGCAACAGAGTAAGATTCCTTTGGCAGTTGTTGGAAATAATTAAGTAGAACATAGTCTTTCAATCTCTAAGCAAGAGACAGAAAGACATTCTCCATCATCCCGCCTCACACTCACAACTTAACGATCACCCCATGTCTAGCTCGTCCACATTAAAAATCATTCCTAGCCTCATCATAGCTGAGCTTCGGGAAGGATCCATTCAAAAAGGCTGTCTCATCACAGTAATCCTGGTCTTGCTTTAAAATGGCTTCTGATCTAATTCACTTAAGGCTGAAGTCTGGTCTCACAATTGTGACTACGTGGCAAGAAGACCTGGAATCATCTAGGGATGTGGAGAGGTCTCAAACAGGAAAACAGGGATGATCACACCTTTTCTCTGCCAGTCTTGTGGGCAGAGGAGCAGGGGAAAAAGGACTGGAACTATGAATGTTATGCCTGGATTTTCCTAACCACAGCATCTAAGACTGACCAGGCTTTTAATCAAAGCCTGTGCCCTGCTGCTGAGGTTGGAGAGAGAATCAGATGCACCTCTTCTGTGTTAAAGCAATGGGGCCAGTTAAAACAATGTCTTGGCCAGTAATGGGAACGAACACTCCTTTGGTTGTGTTTCCCAACTGTCCATCTGCAAACAGCATTTGGGGAGTCCTGAGCTCTTGGAAGGGGGGCAAATAAGTCACCACCTGAGCTGCAAAGGGCAAAACAACCACCCAGCTCTTGCCCTGCACGTGTCTCAACCTGGGGTCTCAGAAGCTGACAAGCTCTGCGTTGGGCTGAGGCTGATGTGAAGTGTATTCTTAATCCTGTCTTCACTAGGTTGGTATTGGAGGGTGAGGATAAGGGGGCAAGAGGAGCATGCCTCTCCCTGAAACCAACCGTCCACAACCTCTTCGCCAGTAGCGGCCCCGCTGGGTGGCCGAACCCCTCGGCAGCCGGGGAAGAGGGACTTCCCCGGGAGTCAGGCGCTCTGCGGCCGTGCGAGGTGCCCCTCGCCTCGCTAGCACAGGTGCTCGGCACCTCCCCGCCCGCGGGCACCCCCAGCCCCGCACGACTTGGCCGCTGCGGGCGCGGGGGCTGTGGCCACCGAGGGGGCGGCAGCCCAGGCTCTGCCGGCGTGTGCGGGCGGAGCCGGGGCCGCCCCGGCCCTGCGGGCACTCCGTGCCCCGCGGGGAGGGCCCCCCGGCAGCGGGCAGCGAGGGGCCGCGGGCGGCGCGGGCTGGGGCTGCCGGCCGAGCGCCGGGACACCGGGACTGTCCGGATGGGCAAAGAGCCTTCCCCCCGCCCCGGCCCAGCCTGCCGAGTGCTGCCCGCGGATGCGCTCCCCGCAGCGGCCGTGGCTGCCCCGGCCACCCCCTACCCGTGGAGCTTGGCCAGCTTTTCCCCGGCCCTCCCCAGCCCTGGGCTTGCTCCCACGCACACACACACAGCGGGTACCCCTTTCCTCAAGAGAGGGCGTCCGAGCTCCCCCCGCCCGGGCAGAGACACAGAGTGAAACATTGCAAAGCGTAGGAAAAGATGGAAAAGGTGCTACCTTGGCAACTAGAGGAGGTGAGGAGCCAGCTGGTGGGCTGGGGGCGGTCGCGCTGCCTGCCTGCCTGCCCGCCGCCGGTACTCTCCTCGACTACGCGTATTCTTAAGCAATAACAACGTAATCCGTATTATCCACCCAAGAATACCCGTCACCGAAGAGAGTCAGAAAGCTGCTGCTGGTGCTGGTGGTGGTGGTGGTGGAAGTGCTGCACCGGGACAATAAATCCATAACTATAATTCGCCTCTAGAAGAAGGAGAATCCACAAGGGTTGCCGAGCGATCTTGTCCCATATCCAATGGACGCTGAACCTTCCCATCCTGCGGAGGCAAAAGAGAAGAGCAGGCGTTTAATACACACGCGTACAGTCCCTCTGCTTTCCTGCTGCCTTACTGGAGCGGGCAGGGGCTTGTAGGCGAGGTGAAAGGAAATAAATCAAAGTAAGGCTGAGTTTACCTGGTGATTGCCTGGTTTCTTCCTCTGTGCTTTTCTGGTATCCTATTCCCTAGCTGTACGCTCCATCAGTTCTCTCTGGGAGCTTGCAAGAGATGTCATACGCAGCAACAGATTCCTGTAAAAGAGATGCACGGTTAAGCACACAAATATTACAAATCTGTTTGCATAGGTGGGTTTGGGAGAGCTCCGATAAAGCAGCAGACACGCCTGAGAGACTTTTCATCTGGGCTTTGGAAATGCATTTTACAAGTCCTGACTCACACTGACTCTATGTGCTACCAAGAGGAGGGAGGGCGGAAAGCGATTGAGGGGGGGGGAGAAATCAAAGAAACAAATAGCAAAGGCTCCGAGCTCAGCAGAGGCACTCCTCTGTCAGGCCTCCCTAGCGCCATGAAAATATACGGCGAAAAAGGCTTCAAAGTACAAATTCAGCGCGCTCCGCTCCCCGCGTGTGCCCGAACGGCGGAGCCCGGCGGCTGCGAGGCGCCGAGCCGGGCAGGCGGCTCCGCGGCGGCGGGCGGGGGCGGCGGCAGCAGCGCACCTCCGCCCTGACACCTGCCGCCGCCCTGCCAAGGTTTGCAAAAGGCGAGCCGGGGGGGTGGGGGGGGGAATAACAATAATAAAAGAAGTTATTTCCGAATGGCGCCTGCGGCTCTGCCTGTCACCCGGAGCAGTTCCCTTATCAGCAGCGCTCGTGCCTGGGGGAGGCGGGAGGGGGAAGCTTTGTCTGATGATCTGCCGCGGTGATAATAAACGTTTATTGTTCGCCAACTAAATAGAAAGGATCCCTGCAACGTCATGGCACAGCACACTTCGCCTAGCGCTTAGGAACTTCTCCGTGTTATTTCACCCCCGTTCCTGATGCTAAGGACAGCTTCCGTGTGAGTGACGGGGAGGGGGGAATGAAACTAGCACCGCACCGTCCGAACCCGCACAGAGCAGAGGTACTCCGCACTTCTTCAGACACGAGTAATTATGCAGCACATAACAGCTCTCATTATCCAATGCACTCGGTGACTGACCAGCTTGTTGATTAGATTCCAACTGAAATTAATACAAGATGCTTGCTTTTCCTACAGATTTCTTCCTTATCATGAGCCCTTGCCTCCCTGGACGTATTACTACTATGCTTCGTACGAAAACATACGAGAAGACAGCATTTGCTTTGTAGCGTAGACTCTGGCTTGAATTTGAAAGACAAGGGAAAAATAAAGACAGAAAGAGAACAAAAAATACTTTGATAGCTACATTACCTTAAATAATTAAAAAAATATTTCCAACACACTCTCCTCTATTTTAATCTCATTGTAGCTGTAATTTCCTGTATTCCTCTAACACAGCAAGCTTTCAAGTCGTATTCTAAATGGCAGCTGGAAAGTAAATAACAAACACTGTAATTTTTCCCCGCTGTGAAACTGAAGGCTGTAACCCCATTAGCTGGCGTTGGAACTCAAATAACTGATGCAGGGGTTTCCTTCAACTTGAACAAAAGCCGTTTGAAAAAGTGAAATGCACCGAGTCGTGGCGAAAACATTCTACAGTGATACACCTAGACCGATATTCTCCGAAATTTGGAGCCGCTCCACAAATGCATCGAGAATTAGGCAGAAATCCAAACTTTGAGTGCTTGTTGGGTTTTTTAAAAATATTAAAGGATGCGATTCTAGGGGAAAAGCAGACCCGCGCGGCGCCAACGCTGTTCTCGCCGTGTCCATCTGACACTGCCCTTCCCCTCCCCGAACAGTAGCCCCCCCACTACTCCCCGCCAATACAGTGCCTGCCGAAACTTCTCCTGCCCAGCCCCGCCGCCGCCCCGCACCGGCCCGACACGGCCCGCCGCACCCCCCGCCCGCCAGGCCCTTCAGCACCCGCGGCGAGGACAGCGCCGATTGCCGGCCGCGCTGCCCGGCCCCCCGCGCCGCTCCCTCCGCCGGGCCCCGCCGGCCCCCGCACCCCTACCCTGCCCTGCCCGGCCCCGGCGCTCCAGGCCGGCCGCCGCCGGGCTCCAGGGGAGCGAGCTCCGCCGCGCTGCCCGCCTCGCACCTTCTCCGCGGCGTGCGGGAGGTGCCCGTGGCGGCGCGCCGCGGCACTAAATACCTTTGTTCACCGGCTCCGGAAAGCCATGTTTATCGGCGCTGCCGCCCCGCTCCCCGCCGAAAGAGCCCGGGTGCCGGAGCCCCAGCCCGGCAGGGCCGGGGAAGGGCCCCGGGGGGTACCTCCGCCTCCTCTGCCGTGCCCGCGGAGAGGGACACACACACAGAAGGGAGGGGAACGTATGGAGGGAATTAAACAATTAAGCTATCAGGAGCGGAGCTCTGAGCAGAGCTCGGGTTTGCCACAAAAAGCAGATTTCAGAGGGGGGAATATTGATCCCATCCGTCAATAGAGAGGCGCGATGTCTTTCCGTGCGAGAAATTGTTCTGAATTAGGGGGCTCGCTGGCGAAAGGGGAGGCGGCACGGAAAAAAAAAAAAAAAAAAAAAAGAAAAAAGAAAGGAGGAAGGAAGAAAATATTCATGCCCGCTAACAGGGAGCCTCTTTTTAAAATCGCTGGAAGCTCGCTCTTTTTGCCACCTACCCGAGTAACCACCAGAAATCCACCTCTATTGAAGCGCTTACCCTTTAAATCCAGGTTTCGAGCAGAACTCCAACTGTGTGTAAAACCAGGGAGTCATCTGATGTGTGATGGGGAATGGGCTCTGGGCAGCAGAAAGCAGCTTTCTCTCCTGGTGCCGGATTACCATGTTAACAAACCCCGTGAAGGGACCCCGGCGCCTCTGGCTGGCCATGTCTCGTTGCTTTCACACATCGGCGGCTGCTCTTGCTTCCCATGTCCCCGGCGATCGCCTCTCAGATGAATGTGGGCTTCCAGAAAAGGAGTCGGGGGGGAGAGGAGGAAAAAAAAATCGCCTAATGCAATCAAATCGATCTGATCTACACCATCTGTCGCCTGCCACTACACACAAGCGTTAAAATAGGAAAACGGGAGACACTGACAGCTCAGGAAGGTTGTTCTGCAGAGTTCATTTTTAGCAGAGCATAATTGGGTATGGACAGCATACAGTTACCAAAGCTGCTGTTAACCATCCAGTAGAGGATCCCAAACATGCTAATGGTGGATTAATTGAGGAAGATCTGACGTGCAAGCTTCATAGTCTCTTATTCATGACTTCCCAACGGGAAAGGACCAATGCCGTGTGGGACTATGGTAACACAGAGTCAAAGAGCTGCTAAGAAAATGGCTCTGTGTTCATAGCACCTCTCTCTGATAACAAACATATGTCGACCAGAACCGTTTAGCAGGATGGGGGAAATGAAATTTTCTTAGCCGAGGTTAGCAATTCCCATCGCTTGCACTTAAAGACAAGTGAAAAATGGACTGCGGGTCTAAGGCGCTTTCGAGTGCTGGTCTTGGGTTTTGCAGCTAGTGAAAGCAGACGGCTCCTGCTCAGATGGGGGGGTAAACCCCAAATCTCTTACTTCTTACTGTGACCAAAGTGCATCCTTAGCAAAGCTCTAAACAAGCAGCTCTGCTAATTTCATCAGGAATGACGCAAGGTCGTTTTAATGCCAGGAACCCTTTTGACTTTTTCCAGCGGGAATGGCTTTTGGGCAAGACATTTCCGATCACTGATATTTGACATAATCTCAGATAAATATGATTTGGGGGAGGGGGGGGGCAAAGGGAGGAAGGAAGGGGCGGTGAGTTGGGAAGATACAGAGCATGCATCCAGACCTGCAATCACCCCTGCTGCCAACACTCCAATTTGGTAGCGTTTTCTAGTCTTTCCTGAATTCTGAGGTTATAGAGACGTATATGTAATTATTAAAGCCATGTATGTACACAAGCCACAGACGCCCGCAGCAGCCGCGTCTACGCGCACCGGCTGGGAGACAAAGTGCGCCCGTCGGGGTGCTCCTTTCTACTCCCTGATGAATCCATCGCCAGCGGGGAGAAGGGCTGCTAGAGCGAGGGGAGGCGCGTTCCCCTCCGCCCGCCCCAGCCCCGGGCGGAGGCGGCAGCTCGGAGCAGGGCCGCGGGGCCGGCCCGGAGCTGTCCGCCCGCCCGGTGCTGATCGGCGGCGGCCCGGCCCCGCACACAATGGCCGGGCACGACGCGCCCCTCACCGCCGCGCAGGGCTGCCGCCCCCTCCGACAAAGTCTGCGCGGTCTCCCTGACACTCACTACAACAATTAGGAAAGTTCGCCTTCGTTTCCCCCTCTCCTGTCTGATTAGCAGAGAGTAATAACGCCAGTAATACGAATCCAGGGGGCTGAATGTAAACGTTCTGATAAACAACTATCGTTTAGGGTAATTCTGGAGTCAACCGCATGATTCTCCTGGAAGTTCGTGTTAACCTCTGTAGAATAAATCTAACAGTTATGAATTAGATTAGCCTTGAAAACGTAGCCTAAAGACAGATCAAACACTTTACCAGATCTTTTGTTTCAATATACATTAATTAAGCACTGCTGCCTACCTACACAGCATTGTCGGGTCCCGGCTGCGGCGCCGAGCCAGCGAACACCGCCGCCTTTGTTGGCATTTGCGTCCAACTATTGCCCTCTGCAGGTCAAATCCCAGCCGCGGCGAGCGCTCCACAGCCTCCGAGCACTCCGCGGGCAGGAGCGGCCGGGCTCGGCGCCCCCGGACCCCCCTTCGACAGAGATCCAACTTTTGTTGGGT